GGGAACCAGGGAGAAGGCCTTTTCGGTAGTGGTGCCCATTCTGTGGAACACCCTCCCATCAGATGTCAAGGAAATAAACAACTATCTGACTTTTAGAAGACATCTGAAGGCAGCCCTGTTTAGGGAAGTTTTTAATGTTTGATGTTTTAGCGTGTTTTTAATATTCTGTTGGGAGTTGCCCAGAGTGGCTGGGGAAACCCAGTCAGATGGGCTGGTATAAATAAAATTACTATTATTATTATTATTTATGCTTTATAAGCTCACCAGCTTACAAAGGTTGAAAATTGAACATCTCCTGCTTTCTTGGCAGGTCCATACAGACAACCACCTTGCCAAGTGGTTGTGCACACACACACACAGAGAGAGAGAGAGAGAGAGAGAGAAGGAAGGAATGATAAGTTACCCTTTGGTACTGTAAACTGGCTGATTTCATTCACCCGGAAAGCAGGATAAAGACCAAGGGCTTGGAGCCAAAGCTTAATCCCAAAGGAAAACAATTAAGTCTGTTGGGAAAGAAGGAGGAGATAATAGCCCTGTGGAAGAGAGAGCTCAGGACTGGTTGGAGGGCCCTTCAACAGGAAGAATTGGAGGCAAAAGCTTGGAGGCTCTTGAAAACATTGGCAGGAAAACTTTTGAGATGGAAATCATGCGCTAGAATGAAATATATTAAGAGGGGTAAACACAAGCCCAGAAGGAGAGACGAGAGAAAAAGGGTGCTGATCAAGGTCCTAATCCTGCACACACTTATCTGAGAGTAACTCCCACTGGACTCTGTGGACTTGCTTGTGTAAATGATGTAGCATCCTTGCGGGGGGCAGACCTCTGGATAATTATCTCCTCTATTGGGAAATTAAAGTTTACAGGTCAACATCGTAAGCAGCAGATTATTGAAAGATTTAATGATGTTGGGGCTTAAGATAATAATAGAAATGTGTTTTAAAACTGCTAATAAAAAGGAGTCATAAAAATAAACATCAGGAAAGGAGGGGTGGGAAGTCAAGAAGAAGGTAGGTAGGTAGGTAGGTAGGTATGTAACAACTGTATGTGATTAATAAGAATAAGAATAATACCCTGCCCATCTGACTGGGTTTCCACAGCCACCCTGGGCACCTTCCAGCAAAATATAAAAACAGAATAAAACGTTAAACATTAAAAACTTCCCTATACAGGGCTGCCTTCAGATGTCTTCTAAAAAGTTGTGTAGTTCTTTTATCTCCTTGACATCTGGTGGGAGGGCGTTCCACAGGGTGGGTGCCACTGCCTAGAAGGCCCTCTGCCTAGTTCCCTGCAGCTTCAGTTTTTCGAAATATATATCTACATATCTCTCACATAGTAAGGCAGGAGTGGTGGAAGGGCCACATGACAGCTTTCTAGCAGCCAGATGCTTCTGGGCAGTGTCCGAGGCAGAAAAACTAGCAGAGTGACCAATGCAGGTTTTAGCAAGCTCAATTCTGCCCATGCTCCTCTCTGCCCTCTCTCAGGGCAAGCAAGAGTTATTAGAGTTCAAGGAATGAAGAAAAAACACACACTCAAGGATAGAGTGAACCAGGAGTGGTGAGGGCTGTGCCCTAGGAAGGGGGTGTGGACTCAGGAACATCCCAAAAGCTGGATGGAGAGGCCTGGGGGGCTGCATTTGTCCTGCAGGCCTGCAGTCACACACACACCCCACCTACATAGTAAGGAAGTACTCTGGTCCCCGTATCTTATGCTTGCTTACCCACGAAACTTCTGCAATAGAACTTCAGTGCATGCAGAAGTTTTTGTTGTTTAGTCGTTTAGTCATGTAGTCGTGTCTGACTCTTCGTGACCCCATGGACCAGAGCACGTCAGGCACTCCTGTCTTCCACTGCCTCCTGCAGTTTGGTCAAACTCATGTTCATAGCTTCGAGAACACTGTCCAACCATCTGGTCCTCTGTCATCCCCTTTTCCTTGTACCCTCCATCTTTCCCAACATCAGGGTCTTTTCCAGGGAGTCTTCTCTTCTCATGAGGTGGCCAAAGTATTGGAGCCTCAGCTTCAGGATCTGTCCTTCCAGTGAGCACTCAGGGCTGATTTCCTTCAGAATGGAGAGGTTTGATCTTCTTGCAGTCCATGGGACTCTCAAGAGTCTCCTCCAGCACCATAATTCAAAGTGTATGCAGAAGTACCCAGGTTCAATCTCTAGCAGCTGGGAAAGACCTCCTGGAGAGTTGCTCCCAGACAAGATTGTTCTAGAAGAGCCAATGATCTGAATCAGTACAAGGCCGCTTTCTATGTGTCCCGTCACTAAGCCAGCAATTAAAATAATTGTGAATAGCAAAGCAGGAACATAATAATAATAATAATAATAAATTTTATTTATATCCCGCCCTCCCCAGCCAAAGCCAGGCTCAGGGCGGCTAACAACAAACAAATAATCAAACAATCAAATAATCAACATTCTAAAACATTTCATTATAAAATTAATTAAAATCAAATTAATGGCAACCGTTAAGCAAAGTTCTGTGCAGGTTGCCGGAGGTGGGAGTCAGGCTGGGCCCTGACCAAAGGCCTGGTGGAACAACTCTGTCTTGCAGGCCCTGCGGAAAGATGTCAGGTCCCGCAGGGCCCTGGTCTCTTGTGACAGAGCGTTCCACCAGATTGGAGCCGCAGCCGAGAAAGCCCTGGCTCTAGTTGAGGCCAGCCTAACCTCTCTGAGGCCTGGGACCTTCAGAATGTTTTTATTTGCAGACCATAGGTTCCTCTGTGGGGCATACCAGGAGAGGCGGTCCCGTAGGTACGAGGGTCCTAGGCCGTATAGGGCTTTAAAGGTTAAAACCAGCACCTTAAACCTGATCCTGTACTCCACCGGGAGCCAGTGCAGCTGGTATAGTACCGGATGAATGTGATCTCGCAGCGAAGACCCCATAAGGAGTCTCGCCGCGGCATTCTGCACCCGCTGGAGTTTCTGGGTCAGTCTCAAGGGCAGCCCCACGTAGAGCGAGTTACAATAATCCAGTCTGGAGGTGACCGTCGCGTGGATCACAGTGGCTAGGTCAGGGCGAGAGAGATAAGGGGCCAACTGCTTAGCTTGGCGGAGATGAAAAAATGCCGCCTTTGTTATAGCTGTAATCTGCGCCTCCATAGAGAGGGAGGTATCGAAGATTACACCCAAACTCTTAACGGACGGTGCTGGCACTAATTGCACCCCCGCAAGAGATGGGAGTTGCCCCCCCAATCCCATATCGTCCCGTCCCAGCCAGAGGACCTCTGTCTTCGAAGGATTTAACTTCAACCGGCTTCCGCGTAACCATCTGGGTCTCCACCTCCACATGCAAAATCCTAGGTGGAAATGTGCCTAGATGCCAGGCAGGCGGGAGGGCGTTCCCCTGGGGGCCAGGGCAAATAATTGAATTGCCACTGTTTGTAATGATGTTGCTTTCTGACCTCACTGTTTTATAACACACACACACAAAACCCAAAAAGAATTATTCCATTTTAGGATTCCATTAGTCACTAAAATAATATAAATCCTCCTGCGATGGACAAAACAGAGTAATTTTTAAATATATATATATATTATATTGCAATGTAATTTATATTGGCCTTTGCCTTCACCAGCTGCTCTGATGAACATGAAAGGATGCTGTTTCTATGGCGGCAGTTCTCGAGCTTTTGAGGATGGAATGCTCAGCAGGGCTGCATTTGCTGAGACTCAGCCACACTAGGACTGTCATCCAGGTTGAGGCCGTGCAGTGCCCCTGTGTCCAGAAGTTCCCCCTCTTTTGCTAATGCGGCTGGATGTGTTGGCATCTCTGTAGCGGTTTTTTTGGTGGGTCTGCCAGGCTGTTGTTCTGAGAATTGAAATGTTTAGCAACTGGTTGCTCCACTTTGAGGGGGGGTGCCAATGTTCTGTTTTCTAAAAGGTGCACTTAGGTTAGTTGTAGTTTAACAAAAACATCCACTGTGCCTTCTGTTGCCTTGGATTTTTTTACCAAAAAAAGTGGAAGTGGAAGGAGGCGGAGGAGGAGGAGGAGGAGGAGGAGGAGGAGGAGGAGGAGGAGGAGGAGAAGAAGAAGAAGAAGAAGAAGAAGAAGAAGAAGAAGAAGAAGAAGAAGAAGAAGAAGAAGAAGAAGATAGATAATAGATAGATGATAGACAGATAGATAGATAGATACCGGTAGATCTCTGTGTGATTTGAAGTAGATCGCCATGGTTTTCTGACTTCCTATAACGATTGCAACAACAAAACGGCACCATGTGTGTTAGTGTCTCGGAAATTAAGAAAACTAGAATGAGGCAATGGGTTGTGATGCTGCCGTGGTTTGGGAGAACTGTGTGTTCAAAACAAATTCAGGATTATTTAATTCTGTCTGCCTGGCAACTGGCTCTGATGAATGGATCGCGGGGTACAAATAAATACACAAATAAAGTACTAGATCCCTCCTGCCGTGAAATCCGCCCATCCCTTCTGGAAGAGTCTTAACGAGGTGACTCTTTGGGAAATACCCCTTGGATCTTTCGCAGAGTATTTGGGGCGGTGAGGGGGGTCCCCGTCCGGCCTCTTTCGGCGCACCTTCGCTCCGTCTGAATTTTAGCGGCGCCTTGGCTGAGAGGTTGCTTCTACCAGGTCTTAAGAGCTGGACGTCGGAGCCGTTTTCAACCATCCGCTTTGACTTCAGAGGCGCAGAGCAAAACTCTTGGAGCTGGAAGAAAATTAGCCCTTGTGCAAAACACACAAACAAACCTGCCATTGTTTTACTTTTATTTTTAAACTTAGCTGTCTTTATTCCTGCACTTTGGGAGGGGGGGAATTATTTTGCGAAAGGGAATAAAATGGACCCAGCTTCTAGAGAGAGGTTGGAAAGCATTTTCTCGACTCCCACTATTTGAATTTGGCGGGGATGTGATTAAGAAATAGAAGGGATCGGTGCGACTCATAGCCGGAGGCAGCAATACTTCTGAATAGCAGTTGCTGGAAACCCGACAAGAGCGGAGAGTTGCTCTTCCTTGTTTGGGAAGTTGTTGGGGGGGAGAGAAATGGAGGTACCGGGGATTGAACCTAAGACTTTCTGCGTGGAAAGTAGATGCTCTACCACTGAGCTGTATGGTCCTCTACCAGAATAAGGGATCTAGTCAAAGAGATGCGGTTGGCACTCTACTTTACCGCCCCAGTGGTTCCCTTTGAACGCCCTGGAAAATCATTACACACACACACACACACACACACACACACACAAAATAGACTTACAGAACTGTGGAGTTGGAAGGGATCCCCAGGGTCATCTAGTCCACACACACACACCCCCCCCATGCAATGCAGGAATCACAACATCATAATTCCCTGCAGATGGCCATCCAACCACTGTTAAAAGGGGGTGGGGGAACCTCAAATCTCTCTCCGATGCTAAACTCATTTCTTTGGAAATGTCTGTCTGTTCTCGGATTAGATGTGTTTAAAATCCAAGAGGTAACCCCAAAAACCAGGACAATTCGGGTGGAGGGGGCTTTGGGGAGCCTGATCCCTACTGAAATTAACAGGGTGCGCAGGAGGATCAGATGAATGATTATGGACTGCGTTCAATAGGATTTTAACGCAAAGGATTGCAGCCGGACGCTATGCGCGTTTATTCCGAAGCCGCCGGGGTTGCCTTAGACCGGGCCAGCCCATTGCTCCACCCAGCTCAGTATTTTTGCCACGGTCGGTGGCTGTCCAGGGTTTTCAGAGAGGAGATTTCCCCAGCCCTTCGTGGATTTGTCGCCCGGGGATCGAACCTGCGATCTTCTGCGCACAAGGCGGTTGCTCTGTCGCGGAGCTACGGCGCCCTTGCAGAACCTTACCAAAGAACCGCCCCAAGCAAACGTGTTTTAAGATTGCGGTCTGATCCGAGGCAAGTTTGCTAGGAAACAAGCAAGTCCTGGGGCGGTTTACTAACACTTCCTTCTGGCTTAGCGTGTTGCTAAGGCACACACGTGCACAGTGCAAGCCTCTGAGACGTCTACTCCACAGTAAGCCTCACTGAATTCGGTAGGGCCTACTCCCGCGTAAGTGGTTATAGGACTCCCACCTTAGCCTGCAATCTGCTATAGCAGGGAATGGGCATAGCTGTCAACGTTTCCCTTTTCTTGCGAGGAATCCTATTCGGAATAAGGGAATTTCCCTTAAAAAGGGGGGAAACGTTGACAGCTATGGGAATGGGGCGGGGGGGGGAGACAATTGAATTTATTGAGACTGACTTGAGAGAGAGGGAATTAGGCTGCGTAAGGTGGAAATAGCGATTTCTGCCTTTATCCCTCAGTGAGGTCCAAAATTCCTAATCACCTGCGATCCTACTGATACCTGACATTCAATAATGCAAAACACAACACAGTCTTCTGAGTGGCGCGTTTAGGACCCTAAGTTTATTCTAGTATCCTAATTTCCGAGTGGAATCGGGCAGACTGGTTGTCGGACCTGCTTTTAAACCACGCTTTTATTTTATTTACGTTATGATGGAAAACCGTTTTTATTTCATTTTTCCGCTCCGGCAATCCAAGTATAAATAATAAATCATCATCATATCATAGCAATAGCAATAGTATACGAGGAGTGGGTGGTATATGACAGTGGATGGTATTCAACCTGAGTTCAGAGCAGACCCATGGAAATCAGCGCACATTGTCTAAGTAGGTCTACGGTGAGTAAAGCTTAGCTGACTACTGCCCAATAAATTTATTGCAATACTTCACTCATTCCCGTCTGAATGAATCAACTCGGGTTCGGAAATAGTTGTGCAAACTCTCGTTTACATTCTGCCTGCTATACCAGAGCAAACCTCTGCAACACGAAGCTAGACTTCCATTCCTTACGTTACAAGCAGATGCTCCTCTCTGGGAAACCCGCGAGCAGGACCTGAGCGCCGCAGCAGCACTCTTCCCCTCGTGCCATTTCCATCAATCTGGCATTCAAAAGCCTTCGTCTGCCCTGGCATTTACCCCAGACCATTGCACTTCTTCTGTGGCAAGGCACCTCCATCCCATAGACTGCCTCTAAGCATCAACAGAGCGCCTTACGTCCTATCGATACCGAGAGATCGCGACCAAAGCGCGTAAGAGCGCGTATGATAGAAGTTTTTGTTGTTTAGTCGTTTAGTCGTGTCCGACTATTCGTGACCCCATAGACCAGAGCACGTCAGGCACTCCTGTCTTCCACCGCCTCCCGCAGTTTGGTCAGGCTCATGTTTGTAGCTTCGAGAACACTGTCCAACCATCTTGTCCTCTGTCGCCCCCTTCTCCTTGTGCCCTCCATCTTTCCCAACATCAGGGTCTTTTCCAGGGAGTCTTCCCTTCTCATGAGGTGGCCAAAGTATTGGAGCCTCAGCTTCACCCTCTGTCCTTCCAGTGAGCACTCAGGGCTGATTTCCTTAAGAATGGATACGTTTGATCTTCTTGCAGTCCATGGGACTCTCAAGAGTCTCCTCCGGCACCATAATTCAAAAGCATCAATTCTTCGGCGATCAGCCTTCTTGATGGTCCAGCTCTCACTTCCATACGTAGAAGTTTACGGATATGGAATATTGCCTGGAATGGAGAAAGCGGATAGAGATACGTCCCCCCACCCTAACACTAGAACTGGGATGGCATCCGAAGAAGAAGAATGTTGGAAGGTTTAGGACGAGTAAAAGGAAGTCCCACATCGCAGTTAAACTATGGAACTCACTCCCACAAGAGGCCACCAATTCGTAAAACTTTAAAAGAGGATTAGACAAGTTCACAGAGGCATAGGAACCAACTCCTTGGGGCCGAAGGGTCTTCGCCCTCCCCAATGAAATATTTGAGCGGGCTGCCCCCCCCCCAGTTGATGGCCGTTGCCGTTCCAATGATGTGTGTGACCCGTGCCAAGTGATCGGTTCTGCAGGGCGGGGCTTACCTCCCCACCCTAATATTTTATTCAAGTTGGCACAGCTATCCAGTAGACGGCTGTCGATGGCTACTAACAAACACACCCTCGCTGTGTTCTGTCTCCACAGTTGGACCGGACCGCCCAGAAGCACATGCGGGGACGATGCGGATTCTGAGATAAACGTGGTACTCCTAGCCATAGCTGTCAACTTTTCCCTTTTCTTGCGAGGAATCCTATTAGGAATAAGGGGATTTCCCTTAAAAAAGGGGAAACGTTGGCAGCTATGCTCCTATCCTGGGTGAGTTTGATCGGGTGTGTGTGCCTTCCAGATAGTAAGGAGGGCTTCACTTTCGGTTTTTACAATACACTTCCGGTGGAGATGCATGGTACATTGAGTGGGGTGATGAGATCATCTTTGGCCGTCATCTGCCGAAGGTTACAGCACCGCCGGCCACATGCCACAAAGTCGGATTTAAACACGCCCAGATCCTTGTCTTAAATTGACTGGGCAACGTACATTGCTGACACATGGAGCTGCCTTTTACTGGGTCAGGCAACTGAGCCAGTGCGGTTGTACTGGTTGTTACAGTGTCGGATTAGGGCCTGGGGGTGCAGAGTTCGAATCCCGACTCTACTACAAAGCTTCTTGATCCAGCCGCACACTTTTCTACCTAACCTGCTCACGAGGTTGTTGTTCTTGTGGGGATTAAAATACGTAAGGAGGGGGTGGAATAATGTAAGCCACCTTGAGCTTACAAATGTGGGGTATGTTGTTGTTGTTTAGTCGTTTAGTCGTGTCCGACTCTTCGTGACCCCATGGACCAGAGCACGCCAGGCACTCCTGTCTTCCACTGCCTCCTGCAGTTTTGTCAAACTCATGCTGGTAGCTTCGAAAACACTGTCCAACCATCTCATCCTCTGTCGTCCCCTTCTCCTTGTACCCTCCATCTTTCCCAACATCAGGGTCTTTTTCAGGGAGTCTTCTCTTCTCATGAGGTGGCCGAAGTATTGGAGCCTCAGCTTTTGTAGCCCTACTCCATCGTAATTGTTGGGCCTGGCTAACTTAAGTCTATTATCTTCAGTGGGTCTACTCTGAGTAGGATTTAGACGCAACCCGTAAATTATTTCAGTTCCTGAGCTCTCTTTTCTTCCTTCTTCAAATTAGGTGTGCGTGGAGGGGGGTTGTTCATTTGTTTTAAAATGTTCTATTCGTTTAAATTTTTACAAGTCCGCACAGAAATCAGTGACAAATTCCTTGCCCACTATAAACCACGTTAAGCAAGGTGTGGCTGTCTTATGAGTCAGCTCGGCTAGCAGGACTGAGCTGTCAATTCTGTCTCAAGGAGGTGGGGGGAAGGAGGAGGTGAGGAAGTCTTGATACGTTCTAAAGATGAAAACATTTATTATGGTATTTAAAAATAAATATAAAACATGATCCAGAGAACCCACTTCCTTAGATGTTTCTCACCAGTTGGGTCCACAAAATCTTTGTGCCAGAATCAGCTCAGGGTGCCTTAAAGGCGCCACGAGCCTCCTCTTTGAAATTAAGACTGCGATGGAACAAAAGTGAAAAGGGAAAGGCGGTAGCTCAGTGGCAGAGTATTTGCCTTGCACGCAGGCGGCCACAGGTTCAATCTCCGGCGTCTCCAGGTAGAGCTGGGAGAAATCCCCTGTCTGAAAACCTGGAGAGAAGCTGCAAATCAGTGTTGACAATGCTGAGCAGATGGACCAATGGTCTGACTCGGTATAAGGCGGTTTCCTATGTTCTTGTGAAAGGGGGAGGAGAGACTATCTTTGTCCTTGTTCGTTCCCCGCTTCCGCCGATAGGTGGCGCTCCGTCCCTACGGAACGTCCGGGCCCGGCGCCTCTGCTGCTGCCTTGCCTCGGCTTGCAGAGCCATAAAATCTCTGGAGATATCAGCCGAGGCGCCAGGTGAGCAATAGACAGGATAATCCACAGCGATTGCTCGCTGTTTATCTCCCACAACAAGCGCCACAAGAGTTACTCATTAACGCTGCTCTATATATTGTATACGGACAGAGTTCTGGCCTTAACGTTGCTCATCTTTTTGCTTTCTTTCCAAAAGCATTAAACTCGACCAACCATCTCCCAGAGAGCCCCGAGGCTGCTTTCGCAGAGTTTGCAAGAAGTATACAGTATTTGTGTGTTTCGGTGGAAGGAGGAAGTCCTTCACAAATAAAATATGCAGGCCACAAACGCTGATAGCAATTTCCGCGTCTAATTTTCTCTCTTCCGGGGCAGGCTGTGAAACCTTTTGCTCCCCCAAATCACAGACCTCAAATCCCTCCATATTATTTGCACGTGTAAGTGTGTGTATGTGTGTTATAAATCCATGGCCAGCTTTGGGGCTCAGTTTCGTCTGAGGTTTTAGCCCTTCCGCAAAGCCCGAGGCATCGCTAGGAATTCACTGTGCAATTCCATCCCCTCCTGTCTGAGAGATAGCACAGCCTTACGATTTCAGTTTCAGCTCAGCAGTGTACTAGGCAGGAGGCTAAATCTTACTGAGGCCGCGAAAACATGCCTGGGCTGTACCTGTATTTATATAGTCACTTATTCATTCCCCACTTTTTTTCCATGTGGCGTTAATTAACTCTACCCCCTCAACATCTCTGTGAGGTAGAATAGGCTGAAAAGACAATCATTGGTCAAAGATCCCCAGCATGGGCCTAGCCAGGATTTATTTTAGGGAGTAGCAGGCTTTATGTTTTGGGGAGGGAGCAGAACAGACACAATTGGACAGTTAGTTAAGTGTTTTTATTTATGTACTTGATTGGGGGGCAGCTGCCCCCCTGGCTAGCCCATGGTGCATGCACACGAAAGCTCATACCAATAACTAACTTAGTTGGTCTCTGGAATATTCCTGGAAGGATATTTTTATTTTATTTTATTTCGACAACGACAGACCGACACGGCTACCTACCTGTAACTAGAACTATGGTCCTCAGTGAGCTTCATGGCTGAGGGGAGATTCGATCACACTGATCCTCAGTCCTAGTCCAAATGACTAGCCCCTACACCAGACTGCTCTGCTTCAGTTCTCAGGGAAGAACTACTGTACCCTGTAGTGGAAGCTTCCCCCACTTCTCCCTGCCTTACAGGAAGAGATTTGACAATAATTATAACGATAATCGGCTGTTTTGTTTTTATAGGGGGAAAGCAGACATTAGGTTTCACCTGAACGCTGACGCTGGTTCTGGCCCTTCAGGAGAGCTTGGTCTGAAAGCCAGCCTTTTGATGTTGTACCTCGCTGATATACCTTCCAGACCTACCTGCCATGTTAATGTGTTGCTACAAAAATATAGCAAAGCCTGTGCACACTTACTGCAGAGGAAGGCTCCTTAAACTCTGACTTCTGAGTAGGATTTTGTTGGAAGGTCTTGTCTTGTGGCCTCTTTTTTCCAATTTCTGTAAATATCTGGTGTCTAAGGTGCCGCAAGACTCATTTCCTTTTTCTCCTCTAAAAAAAAAATTGTGTTTCTGAGATTACACTTACACACACGCAAATAATCAGGCAGTTTTAAAGATGCAGCAACCCTCAGTCTGACCTCAGAATCCGTGGGCTTTACTTCCGAGTAAATATGCAGAGGTGGCACATGCCATCAGGTCGCAATGCGATTGCCTAATTTCAGGGAGAATCGCAGCACCTTCGGTTTTAAAGAACTCGGTTGTTTTCACGTTCTTTGCTTACGCTTTTGCCTTTGAAAAAAGAAAGAAAGAAATTGATTTACAGCCCCATCGTGTACATGTCTGCTCAGAAGTAACCCCCGTGTTTCGTGGGAAGTGCACTTCCAGGTAAGTATGCAAAGAATAACAGCTTTATTGTGTTACTGTATATGGTAGGATCGCAAATCCCCCTGAAAGCTGGAACGGGTCCATAGGTTCAGCATCAACTTGGAAAACAGAAATTCTGTTGATAGCAAGGTGGTATGGAGACAGCCACCTTCTGCGGGCTTCTGCGAAAGATATAGTTTTTTGGCGAGCCCCTATTTCACATGCCCCTCACAGAAGTGAGTTTTAGTTCGTAGGGGGCCAAGAATCCCAGACACGTGCTGTACCCATTTATCGGCAAGAACCGCCTCAGTTTGCGGCCGAGTTCTTTCGAGAACGCAGTGGCGTGAGGGTGTTTTGCAACTTTCCCCGTGTTTTTCCCGGGAGGAAGTGGAAGAACTTGCTTTTCGAGGCGAGAGATTTACGACCAGAGACAGTTTGGATGACCACGGCGTGCCTCTCCGAGTTTTCTCGTCCCCTTCCCAAATCAAGGAATTGAAGACTCTCTTAGTCAATAGCAGTCATAGGAACCCAGGAGAGGGGTAGCTACATACCAGCTCGGCTCCTGGCGGTTTCGCAGTCTTCAAATAAATGAAATAGACTTCAAGAGAGCTGATGGACGTGGAGAGAGGGATGATCGTCCCTTCGCCAAGGGAGGCGACTGGTCTCATGGAATCCATTCTGGTTTGATCTCCGACCCTTCTTCACGCGGAGCAGACGGATCCAAGATTTCGCAAGCTGCCTATATTCCACTAGATCTATCGCCATTTGCCCATCATTTAAGGAACGCCCAGCAATCTGACGCTAGTCCCCTTTGAACAGAATTTGGGGGTGCTTTAGATACGCACCCTAATGCCCTTCTCCCGTGTCTGAGACTGAAGCTCTGCTGCGCGTTTATGTGTGCGTGTGCGGGTGTGTGCAGAAGGCATAGAATCAGCATCAGAAACGTGTGTGTGTGTGTGTACAGGGCTCCTAAAACAGGTTTATTCAAAAGTAACTCTGGCTATTTTGCGTGAGAGGGTGAAGTTGCGTTTTGTTCCATTTATTGAGGTCTTTGTTAATTTCTCGCCAAAGAAGGTTGTAGCTGCGGAGGTTTAGTTTGTTGAGGTTTCTGGATATTAAAAACATTTTTTAAAAAAAGTAACTGGCTATTCTCAATGGGATTGTTATTCCCTCGGAAGCGAGTTGAGGACTGCAGCCTTCAGATGAGAATGAAACTGGATTCGTAAACTGAGTGCCCCTATCCATGAATGTTTACTTGGAAGTAAGCGCGCAAACGAGGCGACCTTACAAACCATACACCTCACGCATCTGAGAAAGCGGTCTGTTGTCCCCAGTAGCTTTTGCCACAGGAAATCTGGTCTTCAAAGTGCCGCAAGGCTGTTCTGTCGGTTGTTGCTCACAGTATACACCTCTAGACATCTTATGTATGTTTACTTGATAGCTAATCCCCCCTCTGTTCCGTTGGGGCTGATTCCCAGGTAATTGTGCATTGGGTTACAGCTTTCGACGATCTCCATTCGCCATCTTCTTCAGGGAATTAATCCCAACAGCAAAGGACAGGGGCACAGATCCCCCAGGAGTTAGAAAGAAACAAATATTTGCCTAGCAGAGGCTCTCTCGTCGAGATCCAGTCGCTTACATGCTCCCTCCCTGAAACTCCCGAAGGGACAGAGGATGTGATCAAAAAGCTAGGTACATAAACTTCGAACTTTATATTATTATTATTAGTTAGGGACAACGATCAATACCTCGCCACACACAATCCACTCTTTAAAACTCCAGAGCCAAAAAAATCAAGAGCTATAAAAGATTTGGGGAGGAAACACACCCATTCGGAGACTGGGGGGCGGTGGGGCTGAGAGCGAGGGGGCCGTTAATGGAGATCCTTCCGTATATATTCAACTTTCACCAACCGGGCTGGTGTTTATCTCCAAGTGACACAATTCCGAGAGGGCTGGGGAAAGGATGGGGGAGTGGAGGCGACGTAACAGGATAGAGAGTGGAAGTGAACTTTTATAATATTTACAGCTGGCTCACGTTGAAACGCACGGGCGACGGCGTGGAGAGTCTCTCCGGGCTCGTCTTAAAAACAACAATTTATCAAGGCGGGTGCTGAGGGGCTGGCGAGCTCACAGAGCGGCGGTCTTGAGCGGTCTTATCTGCCTGTCCATTCACAAGCTGACCTTCAAAGGCTTCGCGAGGGTCGCTTAGAACTGAATCAGCGACTGAACCACGACTTCGCTGCTTCCATTGGCGGCTCTTTGGCGTTCTATAAACATTGCCCCAAATCATAAATACAGGCGCGATTTGGATACCCGGGGAAAAGTTTGAAGTTTTGTTGATTCTCCGCCCTTCCCTCCTAAGACTCCCATTTATTTATTTATTTTGATAAACTTACTGTTTCCATTTTAACGGTGTTTCTCCCTTTCGCTCACACACCCCAGCTCTTCTCTATTTATTCTACAAGACTTTTAGACCAAACAATTAAACAAGAAGAGGCACTTGACTTTTCAGTCCCAACTATATTTATTTTCCAGCGCGGGGATGAAGAGACTCATATCATCCTCTGCAGTTTCCAAGGTTCAGCCGCACATACGGGTCTACTCTGAAATAAGGCCCATTGAACTCAATGGGACTTTCTCCCGGGCAAGTATGTAAGAATAGGATTGCAGCCCTACGATCGGAATATAGGACTAGGCTGGACGTCAGGTTCTTTTGAAGAAAACTTGCGCCTCTCAAGTAAGAGTATTTATAATCTTAATTCGGAAGTAATTCACCTTTCAAATTATTATTAATTTTAAAAGCTGTCCTTCAAACTTTTTTTTTTTTTTTTGAAGCGAGAAAGACACTCTGCTCGGGAATTTATTCATATATATAATTTCCTCAGTAAAGGGGGGGGGGGGTTGGGAATCCTACAGAGCTTCCATTCTCGGACTTTTGCCATTCTGAGTCAAGAAATGCCCTGAAAGAAATCGCTGAGTTATTTATAAACCAAACCAAAGACTCCCCAGGCATATAACCGGAGGCCTAAGGATTTCAACAACAACAAAAATTGATATTCTAGTGATTTTAAGAGGCTTTTGTTTCCTTATAGAAGGGAGGGGGGAATTACTGGGGAGGAAATCCTTAAGAACTTTTCTATATATATTCGTTTGCCTAGTTCTTAGAACCAGACTTTGTAGCCATAGCATGGCAATGTGGACTCCTTCCAAGCAAAGGCAGCATTTAGCACGAGAAAAATAAAAACTCGTTGGAATAGATCTCGTACTGAGGAAGAGAGGGAGGAATCGATCGAGATATTTGCTTTTTAAATTGGGCAACAATTCCAGCCCTCCCGCTATCTCTTTTTACGAACCCGCCTCAGAAGTGCTTTGGTGATTAATTAACGTACTTATTCAACCATTTCTACAGACGGCGCTTCCAGTTTTAGAAGGGAGAGAGAGCCCAGCAGTCCCACTACTGTACAATATTTCCTTTCCCTCCCTCTCCCGGTGGATCCAGCCCTAAAATTTATTTTATTTTTGCCATTTGCAAAACAACCAAAATTATGTCCCCGGTGACATAATGAATCCAAATAAAATATGACAAATGTAAACACTATATTTCGCTGAGGGATTCCTGCTATCTTAATACGTTTTAAATTCTCTTCAAGGGATTTTATTTTATTTTATTTTAAATGAAAGCAACTGGAGAGAAAAAGAAAACGATAAAAGAAGACAGCGTCAGGCCTTATTTACAGACATATGTACAATATCAATAAATTATTTTTTTAATTTCGAGTACTCATATGCCACTTATTTACAAGTTATCCATCAATTACATAAATACTTTATCCATAGTGTCCACTTCTTTCTTCCTTTCTTTTTTCTTCCTTATTATGTTTATAAACCTTGTTATTGCATATACAGTAAAGGGGGGGGGAGAGGGAGTGGGGAACCGCTTCAAGGAAATTACGGCCCTTTAAAAAAATTCTCATCTTTCCAACTACATTTTAAATTGTTCCTAAGGGAAGAAGTGGAGAATAAACGTGGGGGAGGGGGAGGATTAAAAAAAAAAGTCCCTTGGAACTTAAGCAAGCAATTTTTTTTAATTAAAAAAAAAACTCCAAAATAATGAGGCTTAGAATGGAACATGCAAACAGAGCCTTACAGAGGCTGACAGACGTCACTCGAGTATTAAAGGGACACGCCCCTCTTTTAACAAAGATTGACATGGGCCGTGGTCAGGCTTGAACTGATATGCAAAAAGTCATTTCTCCGTTTGAAGGGGAGCAAGGGGGCGGGACACACACCGGGGATCACTCCTCGGTGTCTTCTCCTTTCATCTTCGTTTGTTGTGTGTCGACAGGGGTAGAAACAAACAAGGGAGGGAGGCCATGGGGGGTCACCTCTCCCTAGGATCCGCTGACCCCACGTGCGCACCACCGCCCCTCCAGTGGACACCACAGTCTGGTTCACAATAGCAGCTTCCAAGAGCGACCTCTCTCCCCCCTCTGTCCGGTTAGCGGCCTCCCGGCTCGTCGCTCCCCGCCCGCCCCCTGCAACCTGCAGGACAAAACCTTGCCTGGTCAGTTCCACCCAGAGGTGGGAGCGGCAGTGGCGAGTTCTAGCAGGCGGCCAGAGAAATGGGGGAGGGAAGGGAAAAGAGGGATCCCTAGCCCAGAGACTGTGGGGGGATGGAGAGGTTTTTCTGCGAGGGGACCTTCCTCCTCTCCCCACCTCTAGGGCGACCCACTCCGGGCTCTGTCGCCTTTCGATTCCAAGCCACTCACTAGACGCTGGATGTTCTGCAGCTCGCTGGTGGCTTCCTTGTCAACCTTGGGCGACAGCGAGACGGCCGAGCCGGAGGAGAGGGTGGAAGAGCGGCTGTTCAGCTCGGAGCCGGAGTCCAAGGCTCCCGAGGCCGGGCTGGATGCCAAGGCGCCCGCTTTGCCTTCCGCCCCGCCGACCATGGAGGGCAGGGCTGTTGTGAGAAGGCTGCTGCTGTCCGGTAAGGGCACCGGGATGGAGTAAGGGCTGTAGCGCAGGCGAGGGCGCACCGCGCTGAGGAACGGGTGGCGGTGGACGGAGCTGGTGGCTGCTGTCGAGGCGGCGGCCGCGGCTGCCATGTAGGTGTACGGGTAAGGGAAAAGGCTTCCGAAGGGGGACATAGCCAAGCCCTGCAAGAGAAGCAGCGGCCGGGTCAGTAATTGGCACAGTTAAAGGTATATACACGTTGGCGCAAGAAAACAGGCAAGGAAACACATGCGCCCAAACACATAACAAATACCAACCTAGGCGAAGACGGAAAGCGAGGTTCTGTTAGGAACCAAGGGGTGTGTGTGTGTTTGTGTGTCCCCTCCCTCCCCCCCACGCCGCCATGCACGTGGGAAAACGCAGTAACCAGCCCCGGAGAGCCTCCGAGACGCGGTTCTCAGCCAAGCGCCGTTTCATTCCCTGGCGCCGGGACCAGCAGTTCGAAGCGCGAGGGCCCGGAGCCAAGCTGGAGCTCCATTTATTTAAAATATCCCTTTTCAATCACCTGTCTTCTCAAGGTGCTGAGCACCCTCAGCTGCCATTCCAACCGCGGGAGTCAACACCTCGAGAGGAAAGAGACGGCGGGGGGGGGGGGAGAGAGAGTGTGATAGAAAAGCCTCTGCGCTCTCCCTCCCTCTCTCTCGGACAAAACGCCTTTTGGGAAAGGAAATGTTGGCATCGCTTTCAAGCGAGTCAAAAACTCTTTAGCTTGTAAAATGTGGTCGGAGCGAGCGAACCTGTCCTATTCAAGAGCTCCAGAGAACCCTTGTATAGATGGATGTTCTGTCGTCGATTTCCTATACTGTATGCCCTTTCCCTCATCCTGACGAACGCCTGTTGAGCTTCAGTTTAAGTGTGTATGAAAGAGCGCGCGTTTGTGTTGGGGAGAGAGCTAGGGCGTTTGTGTGCACGTGAGAGTGTTGAAATTAAACAAAAAAACCCTTTAAATATAGTCAGTAAACGAAGCACCTCGCTTTCCCTCTGATACCGGCCTTTGCCAGAGTAGAGTTGCACTCAAATCCCCTCTCTCGGTCATAATATTCACGGGCTGAACTTGCAACTCTCTCCCTCTGTCTCCTTCCTCACAAGGTTGTTGTGAGGATGGAATAGAATAACCCACCTAGGCTGTCCGGAGTTCCTTAGAGGTTATTTTAAAAGAGGGAAATAATAATAATAATACCCTGAAAAAGAAACTCCAGGAACGCGGGCACACGCACAGAATTTGAAAGCCGAAGCTTTAAAAAGTCTGATCTGAAATGGCTCCGGTGAGGTCTATATGGTTTTAGCAGTGAGTGGGAAGGCGAGAGTGACAGGGCATGCTTGCATACTTTTCTCTCTTCTGCGAATAAAGAATCCATCTGAGCTCTTTTAAACATGTCACAGAAGAGTCTGCTAAAACAGGCACACACAATAATCTTCCTCTAGCTCACTCCTTAGGACCACCATCGCAGGAGAAATGGAACACAGGGAGTCAGACCCTTAGTACATCTAGCTCCCTATTGTCTACACGGACTGGCAGCTGCTCTCCAGAGCTTCGGGCGGGGTATACTTCCTGGCCCTACCTTCACAAACTAGGAATTGAACCCGGGACTTTCTGCAGACGCTCTGCCACTGAGAAATGCAGGCCTCCTTAGTTAGACCATTGGGGCACCTACATCAGGACTGCCAACCCTAACTGGTAGCGCCTTTTCAAGAGTTCAGGCAGCGCTACCCGGAGATGCAGGAATGGAACCTAAAGTCTTGCGCATGCAAACCCGATGCTCTACCGCCCAGCTACGACCCTTCGCCTGAAATCCATTAGAGGATTGTTGTTGGAACAAGACAGGGGTGCCAACTTGAATAAAATACGGGGGGGGGGCATAGGAGTAGCCATGGGCTGAAGGGGGGCAGTTGCCCCCCCATCAAGTAAGTAAATAAAAAAAAACTTAACTAACTGACCAATTGTGTCGCTGATAATTTGGTTCTACCACCGAACATAACCCCCCCCCCAAAATAAATAAATCCTGGCTACGCCCATGGGGGGCAAGTAAGCCCTGCCCCGCATAATAGATCACATTACGCCACGCACGGACACCATATGAATGGCAATGCCTATCAACTTTCGGGAGGCCCCCTCAAATATTTTATTGGGGGGGTGAAGACCCCTCGGCCCCTAGGACTTGGCTCCAATGGACAAGATAAAGAATGGGGGCGGGGGCGGGGAGAAAGGGGAACTCCCGGGTAATGATCTGCCTTAATAGATTCCCAAATAGCTTCTGCCTTAGTGAGGGGAGAACTCACACCCGGGCGAAAAAATAAAATAAAATTCTACATATCCACCGCAATAATTTACCTGCGAGGCCAGGACGTGCTGTTGCAGATGAAAAGGTAAAGCCGCCGCCGCCGCTGCAGCCGCCGCTGACGCTCCGGATAATCCCTGAGCCGCCGCCGTGGCCATCACCGTATTGTCCAGCCCGGTAACTCCTGCCGAGGCCCCGGAGACTGTAGCCAGCAGGGGGCCCATCCCGGCCATGCTGGAGAAGGCGCCGCCCATGGCGAACTGGCTGGGATGGAGGAGCAGAGGGTGCCCGTTGCTCAGCGGGTTGAAGAACTGCTGCCCCCCGGCCAGGCCATGGGAGAACGCCAGGTTGGACAAGTGGCCCTGGTGGGCGAGGTGGGCAGCGCTGTCCGTCTGGACCGTCAGCGGGGCGAAGGGCTCCTTGGCCAGGCCCCTGCAGTCCTCCCTCGAGGGGCTTTTCACCTCCTCCCCGCCGAGGCCCCGGGTGCTGGAGGAGATGGTGGCCGGGCTGTGCCGAGCTGAGTCTGCGGGAGCCTTGGGGGCGCTCTCCCGGCTGCCTCTGCCGCCTGCCGAGTCCGGGGGGAAGAGGGTCACTTTGGAGGGGCTGCTCTTCTCCCGTGGGTCTCCACTTCCTCCTCCTCCTCCGGAGCCCGAGGAGCTGCTGTTGGTGGCAATGGCAGCCGTGGTGGTGGAGATCTTCCCGGAGGAGTCGTTGGCCTCCGAGGGGTCGTCTTTGCTTTCCGTGTCGCTTTCCCCCTCGCTGGGACACAGATCTGGGGGCCGGAAAGAAGGGAGAGGGTCAGTCGGAGAGCAGATACGATGGAGCCCGCCCCTTCTCCTGGGAGGTCCAGGGCGCACCTCTTGGAGCTGAACCCCTCTCCTTTTGGAGGCACAGCTCAATGCAAATAAAATACTAATTCCAAGCGCGCGCGTGTGTGTACACAAATACATACACACAAGCACACTTACCCTGCCAGCCTTCTGTATGACCTGGAATATACACCCTCCACCCCTCTAAATCTTATATTTATTCCTAAAGACTTTAGCTGAGCTATCACCAGTTGACTTCAGTTCAGTCCACCATCTTAGGGGGGAGGGAATCTCTGCAGGTAGAAAAGTAGCCTATCACGGTTCTAGCCTTGCCTGTTCCCCTAACCTAAACATTTTTTTATTCGGTGGAATTCCTTCTTCCTTCCCCACCCCTTGGTGAAGCGTTCCATCATGTTTACCGCCTCTGAAGGAAGGACTGAAGGACTACTAGACGAATTCAAACAGACTTGTTTGGAGCTGAGCTTCCCAAATGTTAGGTTGATACACGCAAGTAAGCCTATCCCCCCTCCCGTCTGGTATCCAGGCTCACTTTATCTCCTTGTTTCCACAATAAACGTCCAACTGAAGTGGGTGAGGGAGAGAGGAGAGGCTTGGGGGCAGGAGGAGGATCATATTAATTCCCCAGCTTTTATTTCTCCCAGGTTTTTATTCCCCCTCTTCTGTGCTCTGTTGGAACATCTCGCCTCCTTCCCAACGCAAGGGAAAGTTAAACGTTCAGGGTCTGGCTTCTCTCTTGCCTCAGACACAGGGCCTGCTTACATGAGCTTGAAATCCCCTGCCATTTGTTTTCTGCTTTCACAGGGCAGGCCCCTGAGAGATCCAAAGTTCAAGAAATTTTTTTGGTAACAAATGAGGGGGTTAAAAAAAAAAAAGGGTGCATTCCATCTGACAGGAGCATGGCAAAGTCCAGGGCTTTCAAAAGTATGCATTTTAAAGGCTGCAATCCTATGCACGCTTGCTTGAGAAGACCACTGGAACACGACTCAGGACACCCGATTGAATTCAATGGGGATTCCTTCCACTAAAGTGGGGATAAGATGAGCCGCCTAAAGTAACTTGAAGACTTTTATGTACGCATGCAAATGTAGGATTCCTTGGAAGCCGCTTAACTCCCATTACAGCCCATAGGTTTGTGGAATGAAGGGAGAACAGGAGAGATAATTTGACCCAGGCTGTGCCTCCCTCCTGCCAAAGTGAGCTTCTTCGTAAAATCTTTTAGGGAGCTAGCTATATTAGCATCTTGAACCCAAAGCTTCAAAGAGCCTTGTGGCATCTTAAAGACTTGTGAAATGCATGTACACTTTATGACATTAATTTCCCACATTTTCTCCAGGCAGCTCAAGGTGACGCACGCGATGCACATTTCATCTGCACAACAACCCTGTGAGGTAGGCTAGGCTGAGAGAAAGTGACTGGTCCATGGTCACGCAGCAAGCTTCCTGGCTGGGGGGGGGGGTATAGGAGTGCCTTGGTATCCCAGATTCCAATCTAGTGCTCTAACCACTACAGCACACTGAGTCTGATGAAATGAGTCTGACGAAGCATTGTCCTCAAAAGCATAGGAAATTTGTTGATTTTTTTAATGGAGATTTTTTTGTCTGACTTTTCCCTTGTTGCAAAATCCCAGTATGGTTTTGAATGGATTGGTTGCAGGAGGTTTCCCCTCCAGCTTAATAAGAAATTCCAATATGTGCATGAATGGATTGGTTGCAGGGTTCCGCCACCCCCCCCCCGCCCTTATTCAGAAATTCCAATACGGTTATGAATGGACTGGTTGCAGTTTTGAACTTTTGCCCCGTGGTCTGCCTTTGCTCCGAAGCTTTAGTCAGTGTTGGCTGACTCTGTACAAACCACAGAAGAAATATAGATACAGGGCGGAAAGGAGAAAAGTGTTTTCCCCCCTCCTATTTAAAAATGTCTGGAGCAGTTTCAAAATTGGGTTTATTTTATTTTTCGAAACTTTTCCCCCCTCTTTCCAACCGGAGGCTGATCTTCAGCCAAACTCCCTTCAAATGCTGCCTCCCCCCACCAACCAACCCCCCCCCGGAAATGGTAATAACCCAGAAATAGAAAGGAGGGGGTAGGGAAAATGGGGGGGTGCACAGGGAGTGGGGGGGAGGGGCAAAGGCAAGTAGGGAGCTACCTCACCTTTGAGATTAGATGTGCCGACAGTCGATACTGCAGGGGAGGTTGACTGGGCAAAGCATTTGAAAGCTGTCTGCTCACTTGAGGACTCGTCTGACGTCCCATTTTCTTTCTTCTGCCTCTCATCATAGACTCGCATGGACTGGAGGGTCAGTTGCTTCCTGGAGAAAAGTTGGTTGGTTTAAAAGTCACTGGAGAAGGGAGGAAACTCTCGAACACATACCACTCGCTCCAGACCATAATAACTCTCTAAATCAAATCAGCTGGCATCGCAAAAGACTGTTTACAAAAGAAAAAAAAACCCAGCTGGTGCCCCATTCAGGCCAATGGACGAGGAAAGACGTCCAATGGAATCAAACAGGATTTTTAGAATAAAATAAATAAATATGGTTGCGATCCCTGCGGATATGCTTAACATCGAAGCCAAGCTTGCCCAGCCTACTGACCTGGCACTAGAGTCGCAAAGGGTTTCTAGGCAAGTCAGCCTGTTTTAAGAAAGGGGCTTTGCGGACCGCAGTGTTATTTACTTCGGACGAAGCCCCCAAAGGTCAACAGGCCTTTCTGAAGATCAAAGGGCCTTTGGCATCAGTTCAGTGGAAAGAAGGCGGGTTTCTCTAGGAGTAAGAGAATTTCAAGTTTCGGGTTTGGAGCTGGGATTCTGGAAGCCAAAGACAGTTCTTTTGGAAGGAAGTCTATTCCTTTTCCAAGGGGAAGTGTTTAGGTAGAACTTTGAAGGGAAGAACTTGAATGAGTTGCCATCAGAGCATGGCAAGGACAACCTCCATATGATATTAATATTCTTCTTCATGTCTAGATGAAATCTCAGAAATCCACAAATGCTTAGAGAAACTAAACATCTGATAGGGGGCAGCTGATCTCCCCAGAGTTTGGGAAGAGTGAAAAATGGGTTCTTGCGGGGTGGAGGCAGAGCAAATCTGTGACTAAATGAAGAGTTGAGCTGGGTTGGGTGAGTTTTGGGCAACCGTAGTCCAGCAGCGATCAGCTGTTCCAAGTTGCTGGACTATTCTTGGGATATCTGGCTTTTTACTGGCTACTAGGAAGTTATTGTTCAGTTTATTTTTATTTTGAAGAGAGGAATTATGAATAATGCTTGCAGGAGCCAGCTCTCTCCCTGCTCCCTAAATGTATGAGTATCTGTAAAATCAAAATTAAATACTGGGCACCTTTCAAGTTGAAATGAAGCAATTGGTTTTAAAATTGAAAGCAGGAATTTTAAATAAGGAGGTCTTAAATACAGGCTGGGTCATTGCAGATTTTAGGGGAATTATTATTTTTTTACTTGAATTTTTTTTTTATCATTGCTCAAAACATAGAAATATTTGCCTTTGAAGACTGCCTTCCAAAACAAATATCCACACCCACTTACCCTGCCCTGAATGTGTATTGTGCAAAGATAACACACACAGGAAAGCTCCTCTGACTCTAAGAAAGGCTAAGAGATGCTTGTTTTCCTCTTCACTGACACTACCTGCTGTTAGAACACCCCTTGGAAGGAACTCAAGGCTTACTTCAATTTAAATGCATGCAGGATCAGGTTAGTGCAACGTCTCATTAGAATATGGCTTTGGGTAAACTACTGCCAGCCACTCCGTCTCCACAGCCTCTTGTGTTCCACATTTCGACAATGGCAAACACGTGTCCTAAGCTGTGTACGTCTCCCTTGGGTGGCAGTGAACACACCTTTGGGCGTTTACAAATATCACTTTCTAAAAAAAGATTCCACTAAGGCTAGGAACCCTCCCTCCCTCCACCAACACTCATCCCAATGAGAGTTTGTGTGTTTTAAAGATCCTTGAACAGACCCTACAATAGGAGCATTTCAAAACCAGACTGAATACGCTAATAGCAAGTTGGACAGACACCCCACACTCTACTGCGACAGCCCTCCTTACCTTTTCTCTCGCCTCCCATTCCCTGTGTCTCGAAAGCCTTTGGCAAATGGGTTGTTGTCGATCTTTAACTGAGTTATCTATTTTTACATAAAAAAAGAAAGGAGAAAAAAAAGAAAAGAAATGAAATAATGCGTAAGAACGGAATCTCGAAGTGGACCCAGATTTTCAGGGGGGCATGGTGTAATGGTTGGGGCTCTGGAAAAGGTTCAGGGAAAGATCCTGGTCCTAAATATTTGACTCTGGAAACCAGGAGAAAACTCGGTTAGTAAGTAACCAGCGCTCAGTGCAATTTACTTCACGCAAGGATCAAAGCGAAATGCCTTAGTTCAGTGGGAGAACAACTGCTTTGCGTGCAGAAGGTCCCAGGTTCAATCCCCGGGACTCCCTGCCAGAAACCCTGGAGAGCAGCTGCCAGTCAGTGTAGGCAACACTGAGGTGGTTAGAGCAACGGTCTGACTCTATAAATAAGGCAGCTTTCTGAGGTGGTGAAACCCTGAATGGAGGAAGGGTGTGATCCAAGCACAGAAAATAAAGGTTATTTTCCAGCCAGTTGGACCTCTAATTTCATAGTCCAACCCAGGTGGGGTATTTCACCTGTGCATGCCCTTACTCAAAGCAAGGGGAATAAGGCAGGGGGCCTCAACAGCTTTCATCCCAAACTATGCCTCAAAGTTTATTTCCAAAAGCCCCAAGCAACACCCTTAGCAGAAGACCAACAAACTGAACCTTGTGACATTGTTACAGCCAAGAGCCCAGGATCCTAGGGCTATCCCCCCCTACAAGGCAGCATGAAAGACCGTTTCATGCACCTCTGCCAGTCCAATTGCAGTGGCTGGTTGCCTCAGCCTTAGTGTGTGTGTGTGTGTTGAGGGGGGAACCCTGGTGGAGGAATGAGTGGAACGTGCCGCCCTGGCTATCCATTAAAGTTATGTTTCAGTTTCAACTCTTTACCTGCCATAATTAAACCGCAAAGGAATGGTGGTCACCCGCTTGCTATAATAAAATACTTTATGTAATTACCGTCCACGGGCCACGTGCTTGTGTGTGTGTGCATGTGTGTGTGCGTGCACGCAGTGCTGGAGTTTGAGGAGGGGGGCCGAGCTCTGAATAAATACTATGCAAACATATTACAGGCATGTTGCTCCCCCCTCACTTCTGCAAACTCTTAAAAGGATGGGTGGGAGGAAATCAACAACATCTGCACGTTGTTGCTTTTTCCTTTCCTTTTCAAGACTGTAATGCCTTTTTCTCTCTTCAAGGATCCGGCCCATGTCCAGCGCTTTCGGCTTTCAAAGAAATCACTGAGTGCACAAAGTTCGGCACCTGCCTAATTTTTGAAATCCTTGCTGCCACCTCTTTTAAAGCAGGAGATACTGGGCTGTCCCTTTGGGTGGGAAGATGAGCCCAAAGTTTTGATCTCACGCTCTCCCCTTTCTAAGTTTAGGCTACAATTCTCTGCACCCTTAGTTTGAAGGGATACCCACTGAGCACAGTGGGACATGCTAAGGATTAAACATGCATAGGATTCCTTTGCCTTATCAATTTTCTACAGAAGTGCAAAGACCTTTTGAGATGGGGGAGCGAGAGGGGTTAAATACAGCCACAGTGCATGTCATATGTATACAATATTATATGCTATATAATAACATAATATAAAATATTACATGTGTGTAATATGAATCTCACTGTCCCTCCTGTCTCTTTCTTTCTTTCTTTCTTTCTTTCTTTCTTTCTCTCTCTCTCTCTCTCTCTCTCTCTCTCTCTCTCTCTCTCTCTCACACACACACACACACACACACACACACACCTCCCCTGACTCCTTTGGCCAGGCCCTGGGATCTGTTCCCCTAGCTATTAAAAAACAGGAGCAAAACGCAAGAAAGGGACCCATGTCAGGGAGTCAATCCATTACTTTCCAATTGCTCAGAAAGTGCTTAATGAAGGCGACGGGGGCCGCCTAGGTGATCGCTGGAATGCGGGTTCTCTGACCTCTTGCGAGAGATCGCTCGAGATAACGCCAGGAAAGCGGGGGCCTTTGGCTCCATTACAACACCGCTTTCACACGCCATTGCAGGGCAGTCGGACAAGGGGCTTTTCGCTCGGATGGGGACGAGAAAGGCTTCCGCGGGCCGAGCACGGGGCTAATTCAGTCAAGCGAGATCCGCTCGCCCCAGAGGAGAGCGAGCCTCCTTTGTCTCTCCCTCCCCAACACATCTCGGCGATCGTATCAAACAAAAGCTCTGTTAAGCGGCTAGTCCCTAGCACGTCTGACTTCTTCGTGGGGCCTCCTCAAGCCAAGCCTCCATTTCCCAACAGGAGCAGAAACACGGCATCAGATCCCTCTCCCTCCCATCTCCAAAGCACACGCTTTCGTCCAACACCATATCCTGCCAACTTCCACCGCGATCCTGAGTTCAGGCACGAGCCACATTGATTTCAGGAGAGCTAAACTGTCCAAGGAGCTCCGCCAGGAGAATTAAGCGCGCGCGCGCACACACACACACACACACACTTTCAAAGTACACACTGGGGTTTCCATCTTGCAGCGCTGCCAAAGCTCCATAAACCACCGCACTCGAGTTTGGGAATCCAAATACCAAAAGTACTAATTTACAGCGAGGGGGAAAAAATAAAAATGAAATGAATCTAAGGCAGGCTAGTCGAAGTCTCCCGGGTCCCTCGCCTTGAATTCATTACCATAAATTTAGACCGCGCCAAGTTCCCAGTTAGACCACTTTGGTGGGCAAGGCGGCCTCCCGCAAACAGGAGTCCTGGTGATAATTGAGGATAGGGTATCTTTAACAACTACACCTCTATCCCCACCGCATCCTCAAATCAGAATGGGCCATGTCTTTCTTATTAAACGCTGCTAGGTGCTAAAAGCATATTTCTTTCCCCTGCCCCTTAAAAAAACCAACCCTACTCCAAAACTATTAATAAAAACACTGCAGTATAAAGTGGGGGGGGGGATAATATGAACCAGACCTACATTTGGGGGCCTGGTTGCCCCTGTCGTTGTTGTATTTTTAAGTAAACTAATGTATGCTCTGATTAGGGTTCTGTTTCCTCGAAAATCACATTTGCACACCGAAAGAGAAAGTCGGATATCTTTTTAAAGCGCGCTCTCTTTCTCTCACACTACAAACACATCTATTTTCCTCTCCACCACCTCTTACTAGGTTTCTCTGGATACACCGAATATCGAAAATTAGAACAATTTTAATTCCTTCTTTTAACTTTCTTTCTGAAGTGGCCGAAGTGATAAATGGGGGGGGGGGGGGCGCTAGGAGACAAGGCCCAATTTTTTAATGCCAAATCAGATCAGGATCAGAGGCTCAAGATCACCCATCTCTCTCGCCACCCCCTACCCACCGCTCCACCTCATTCCCTTAAATGCATTCCACAGCGACTCTTTCTTACCTTATCGTTCTGATACGCAGTCACCGCAATGAATTCTGTCTCGGGGAAAACGTAAGTGCGGAAGGTGCTGTAAGGCAGTTTCAGAATATCATTGGCCCGGACGATGTGGAACCGAGGCTGGTACTTGTGCATGGAGTTCAATATGGTCTGCGGGTGCGGAAGACGGGGGGGGGGGGCGGGTCAGAGACAGACAGACAAGCAGGAACATCCAGACTCAGTCAAAACGAAAGGAGGAACATCAGCAAAGCCCGAATTTAGGCCTCCAAATCCTAGCCGCCCTCTTTCTTTCTTTCTTTCTTTCTTTCTTTCTTTCTTCCCTCCCTTCTTCTACACATCTAGAACCACCGTTGCTTGGAAATATTTTGCTTTAAAATAATACTACCAATCATAATAATTGGTAATAATTCCAACCCAGTAGGAGAGAGAGCTAAGCCCAGGTCATTAGTTGACTGGCGAGGAGATGTAAAGGAAGCGCGAGGGAGCGGAGTGGTTTTCTGAGCGAGCTCCAAGCGGGCCAAGGGCGGGGGAGAGAGAGAGAGAGAGCTGAGGCTTTTCAGGAAGATCAGCCAAGGCCAGCCAAGCTGAAACGAGGATCTCCCCGTTTCTTCCTTTTTCCTTCCCAAGAAAACCTCGCCAGAAGGAATGACCTCATTTTCTGCACTTCGCTGGAGGAGCTGCCTTGCCCGAAAGTTCACTTTCCTATCTGTACACAGACAGGGATGTGAATGGAGGAAAGGAAATAATAATAATACTGTAAAGCGACCCGAGCTTAAACATGGGTCTAAGTCGGTTAGGAGAGGGATAAAATCCGGCTGGAACCCCAAGGAATTTATTTTAATTTGAGTGGTTTGGGGTGGGGTTTTTTTTTTTTTTTTGGTGGTGGGGAGGTGTATTTATTTCCTGTCATCCCTTCTTCCTCGTCTCTCCTCCACCTCCCTATTTTTTATCTGCACCCTGTGTGTCCCACCCTCCACCCCCAATTCTGCAACTGGCTGCCTCTTAAATCAGTTTTGCCCTAGAAAAGTTATAAAACACACCCCAGATTTGCTGGAGTTAAGCTGCTTTTCCCCCTACTCTCCCTCCCTGCGATTTAACTAGAGTTCGGATCCTGCCCATTTAGAGCTGAATCGGAGGAAGAGTGCAGGATTTTTTTTTTATTCTTTTTTTTGCCCCGGAAGTTTCCTAATTAGATTTATAACATTGGAAAGGGAACGATTACCCTCATCCTGCGATGCCTCCCCGTTTTCCCTCCCTGAAACACATGCACACAGAAACCAATTATGATATTATTATAAGCAGATCGACCATAGTGCCCAAATATGAAGTCATTTCTCGCCCCCCTCCCTTCCTTCAGAAATCTGGAAGGGATCGAAATCAAACGTCAGTCTCTTTGGGCCTCTGCAAAGCTTTTTTAGCGAATAGGTTTCCCACCCACCAATCCCTGCAGCGTGACCGAGGGTCGATCTAAGCTGATCTCTCAACCTTGCAAATATATGTTTTGCTTTGTTTTAAACGCGTGGTGTTTGTGAGCGGGGGCGGCGTTTAAAGAACCAGGAGGTTACGTTACAGGGGGGAAGAAATTAAAAATCACTCACAAATCCGTGTTTGTCCGAAATGTTATTAGTCAGTTTAAGTTTGTGGAAAGTCACGACTTTAGACATCCACTGTTCTCCGGTCGCCGGGCTATCTGGATGGATATACATTCTCTTTGGCATTTCAGGGTCGGCTTTCCCGGCCACCATCCACCGGGAATTGTGGAATTTATATCTACAATCGTCAGCCGCCACTATGTCCATCAACAAAATATATTTGGCCTTCTTATCCAGGCCAGTACACCTCACTTTAAAGGGTGGAAACATTCTCCTAGAGACAGAGACAGACAGAGCACAAAACAAAGAAGGCGAAGATTTTACTTATAGTAAAATATATAAATATATATTTTTAAAAAAGAGAGAATCGTCTTAGCGTATCACTCAGCCGCATATTCTTGTGCAAAAGTATCCCCACCCACCCCCAACCTTAGCAAGGAACTATACTCTCAGATTCTCTCGACTGGTTGCTATTGTGCAAAATAAAATGATAATAGGAATCCTTTGTGAATATTCCATTTTAATTATTTTTTTAAAAAATAAATCGCAAAATAATCTCCTTTGGTTTGGGCATGGAGGGAGACGCAGATCCGTAGTATTTAGCGTGCAACAATAGTCCAAGGCCAACGATATTGGAGAGCTTGGAAGATGGTTGCCACCCCTTCCCCAAATCCTTAAGTTGATTTCCAAATTGCAAAGACGTGTGATTTTGTTGCAGCGAGTTGTTGAAGTCTGCAAAGCCTCCTTACAAAGTAGCTGCCCAAATAAGAAAGCAAACAGTAGATAAGCCTTCTTGGGGGGGAAACTTTGGCCACAGATCCAAAGTCTCCTTACTTTTTTTCAGCCGTCTTGGGGACTTGATTATTTTTTTTTTAAGCAGTTTAAAATGAACCTGGCATCGTAAATGTGAACCTGAGGAATCTGCATCAGCGTTATATTTTCACTTTCTGTGTTGGAATGAAATAATGGCAATTGTTTCAATAGAAATTACGACTATTCGTAATTTGTGAGCGAACGTTTAGGGAAAATACATAATCTGCCATATAGCTCTTAAATAAGTTTTAAGTACAGCTTACAAACTTTTTTACGGGGTAAGGAAGCCCTTCATTCCAAACGCTCTGTTTTATTACCAAGTCCAGTGCTAGAATATTTTCACTTGCTCCACAAATTTCGGGCCCTACACCTGGATTTCCCTAGCAGTTGAAATCCTGAGTTCAAAATATCCACATTTACAGAAGAGCAATGTTATTTTCGGGGGTGAGGGTTCAAATGTGCTTTTAAAATTCCAGTCGAAGAGTTCCACCCCCGAATAGATTTGCTTGGAAGTAACTAGGCTGGATCTGCTTCGAGCGTGGAAAGACTTAACTGCTAAAGAAAGTCTGAGCAGGATAAAGCCTGCTTTTACGTCTGGGTATGTTTTTGCCTGGAAATAAGCCCCATTCGTTCCAACGGGTCTGGCTCCCCAGCAAAAAGTGCAGGAAATTACAGACATAACAAAGCCACGAAGGGAGCTATTGCATTTTTTATTAAAAGATTCCCGGTGCAAAATTCTGCCCAGTTTTATATGATTGCACATATCCCACGAACACTGCGGTCAGTTCTCTCTTTCGTGTGCACAGATAAAGTGTTGCGTGTGTGTGCACGATTCCTGGATGCAGATATCTGTCTGTCTATGTATCTATCTATCTATCTATCTATCTATCTATCTATCTGTATTCTATCTATCTATCGCTATATACATGGCATAGATTGTACACACACAGTATTCCCATTGTCCTTCAGAGGTTGGGTGAAGGCTTTTGCAAGCACACACGGTCAGCTGTCGCTTTCTGGATATTTTCCTAATTCCATATTAAGCTTTTTATTTTCTTGTTTGCAAGTGGAAACTATTGGTTTGCTTGGAAATCAGCTTGAGAGAAATGGGTTGGCGGGTGTGTGCGGAGGTGGGGGAGGCGAGACGGAGAAGGAACCCCCCCCCCCATAACCCAGGAGCAAATCTCCCTTACCTTCCTGACTTGGTGATTACCATCTCGGTGCCCCGCTTGTGGAACTGATCCCAGAGTTCCTTGGCTTCCAGGTGGACTTTGGGGTCGTCCTCCACCTCTTCCTCCGGCTCCAAGGTTTTCAAAGGCCTCAGGTGAGCCGCGGCTTGGTGTCCCAGAGACGAGAAAGGCATCCCGGATTCCGTCGCCCCGACTAACTGATCCATGATGGGCTTGGCCAGAGCCCCCGGCAGAGAGAGGGCGGCGGCCCCGTTGGGGGGCAACGCCAGAGCCGGGAAGAAAGGCGGTTGGTGACCCAAGACGGCGCTCATGGCGAAGTCCGGCGCCCGGTGAGGTAGGAAGGGGTGGTAAGCCATGCTGGTCCCAGGAATCACGGGCTCTCTCATGGAGAGATTCATCCAACAGCTTGCCTCGCTCCCAGCGGCCTGCCCGGACGCAGTCCTGGATCCTGGAGCGCGCGGCCCTTACGAGCTCATCGTCGGGCCACGATTCCCAGAAGAAGGAGAGAAGGAGGGAAAGGGAGGAAGAGGAGGAGGAGAGAGAGAGGAAGGCGAAAGGGCCGTCCGAAGAGGAGGCGAGCGACCAGGGCGGAGGGTGCCGGAGAGTGACATAGGCGAGTCACCAGAGAGTCCCAGCGCCCGAGTCGAAAGCAGGAGGCATCTTGTCACCCGGAACCCGCCAGGGTGTCTTTGCTCGGAAGCTCCTTCTCCTCCTCCTCTTCCTCCTCCTCCTCAGCGATCGCTTTTTCACAAGGATTGAATTATAATGTTAAGAATGGTCGGTTTCGAAAGAGGAAGGGGTGGCGGTGGAGAAAGCAGCAGCAGCAGCAAGGACTTCGGCCAGATTTCGCCGCTACTTCTGGGGAAGGCGACGGAGGAAAGGAGGGTTCGGTGGTGCAGGGAAAAGGAACGCCTGGAAAAAGAAGAAGTCACCTTCTTTCTCTGGTGGGTCTCTTGCAAACGTTGAGATCGGAAGGTTTTTTTTTTCCTTCCGCTCTTTCTTATGCTTCCCCCCTCCTTATATTCAACGCCCCGCCGAAAGATTCTGTAAAGGTGGAGTGTCTGTGTTTGTGTGCGTGTGTGTGCGTGAATGAGAGGGAGAGGAGAGGAGAAGAGAAATTGTGAAGGGGGGGGAGCCTCTTGTTTCTAATCAGGCTCCTCGTAGCGCTAAAAGTTGGAGAGAGAGAGAGAGAGAGAGAGAGAGAGAGAGAGAGAATGCAGCTTCCGTTTTCCCCTCCCCCCACGCGGCTCGCCGTTGCCAAAGTTTGGATTCCAGAAAAGAAAAAAAATCTCCGCCGCCCGTCTCCGTCGTTCCTCCTCGGATCTCTCCTCCCTTCTTTCCCCCTGTCCTCTTTCAATTTTTTTTAAATATTTTTTTAAAAAAGCTTTAACGATAGCGATTTGCAAAACTGGGGAGCCTTGATCGCTCTTCTACGCCCTCTCAACCCCTGCAAGTTCCTGCAAGGAAGAGCAGACAGAGAGAAGAGAGAGAGAGAGACGGGTATGTATGTGTGTGTGAGAGAGAGAGGGGGGGGGTGTTGAGAGCGAGTGGGAGAGCGAGCGAGTGCGAGAGAAGGAGCCGCGCAGGGAGAGAGCGAGCGAGCGAAAGCGGCGCTGGGCTCCAAGAATCCCCGGTGTGAGTGCGTGTGTGTCTGAGCCAGCGCGCTCGGCTGCGCCGGGATGGAATGGCTGTGTTGTGCGGCGTCGCAGGGCAGCTGCCGCATACTTGATTGGCTCTTTGACGCTTTCGGACCAATTGTGTGGCTCCATAGGCGTGGTTTTGACAGGTCGAGCGGAGGGGGACCGAGGCGAGTTATAAAAAGAAGGTGTCGGAAATTGTAACGCTGCAGCAAAGCATCCCCACCGCTCCGTGCCGTGCGAATATGTCAACATGATCAGAGGCGGGCGGGCGGGCGGGCGGGAACGGGGGGTGGGGAGCGAGCGAGGGAGGGAGGGAGGGACGGAGGGAAGGAAGGAGGAGAGAGAGAGCTGAGAGCAGCCATTGGGAGAAAGCGAGCGAGAGACAGGGAAAGGCGAGAGTGTATATACGCGTCTGGCCTCTAGGGGGCTTCGGAGAGGCGAGTTGGCCCACAGCGCCGCAGCCAGAAAACCAAGAGGGGTGGGGGTGGGGAAATCTCTCTCTCTCTCTCTCTCTCTCTCTCTCTCTCTCTCTCTCTGGCTTGACCAAGCTTTGGGACATTTTCAATTTGGACTTATCATCAACTTTTCTCGGCGAGGCTTTCCATTTCATCGCCTCCTTTCTCTTCCACTGGGATCCGCGCCTAGGCTGGGTTTGAGATCTAGGAGGTTCAAGTGGGTGTGGGAGAAGGAGGAGGGGAAGGGGAAGGGTGAGCTGATTCTCTCTCAGCCCCCCCCCTCGTCCCACTCACGGGTGCCTAAGCTCAAACACCATCTCCCGCCCCCCTATTACCACCAACAACCACCACAAACGTTCCGATCTCCTTTCTTTCCCACTGCCTATAAAGGTTTGAGTGGTTTGGATGCCCGCTCGCCCTCATGGGTCCCTAACCCCCACCCCACCCCCAGGTACACGTGCAGGCGCGCGAGCGAGCTCCTCTCCGCCCGCCCCCGCCCCCGGTCGGATGGGATTGTCGAAGCAGGAACATACACGCGTGCACACATACACACGTGTTACTCTCTGCCCACCGTGAGTATTTTGGCTTGCTTCTTTTAAATTTTGCCTCTTGTTTCCAGTTGAAACCCAAGGCGGGTGTCCCTTTAAGATGGGATGGGGCGCGAACACCGAGGATGAGCTTTTTTAAAAAAAGGGGGGGGGGGTTGGGAGAGAGAGAGAGAGAGAGAGAGAGAGAGAGAGAGAGAGAGAGACACGCTTTAAACGCGTTCATTCTGTCGGAGCCGTAGTCAGGCTTCGTCTGAAACGGGGAGAAGGACGGGTCGTGTCTGCGCGCCTCTGTTGCGCTACAGGCGAGCGATAGAAAGCGGCGTTCGTAGCTTAGATAGCAATCGATGCTTTCATGACGCCTCGGCTGACATTTGCTATAATCCACACCCGCAGTTACGGTTTTGATCACTTTTGAAAAGAAAAGAATAGAATAGAATAGAATAGAGGAACAGGCTTGATAGATGGGCTTCTGGATTCGAGGGGTCTCTCTGCCTCTCGCCTCCAGGACTACGCTTCACCCGCAGAACTGTCTATCTCTCCCTGATCTTGTCGCCTTTTGATCCTGGGGGAATTTGCTGAGGGGCGCTCCCTGGGTGAAGGGTTAGGTAGCTTCGGACTATCTCCCTCCGGGATCGCATTTACGACTAGCTTGGGGCCTGCCCGTCTCGTTCCTTCGCCTCACCCAATACAGTATATTTATTTTCCTTTGGTTTTATTTATTTATTTATTTATTTCAATAGTCTTTGGGATCAGAAGTGCCACCTTCTCGCCTCTCTCCCCCCCCCCCCTCGCATTTGTTTGATAAGCGCATCCGAAAAGCAAACTGTGAAATCCCACTGTCTGAAACGGCCAGACTTTGTGTGTTTAAGAGGAGGAAGGACGTGGGGTGGAGGAAGGAAAGAGAGGCGGACAGAGGGTTGGAAGACGAGAAAGGGTTTTGTTCCATGTGCATTGTCGCCGCCGTCAGTTTGTATCCAAGTAACGTTTACTCAAAGTAAACCCATTGGATTGAACAGGGCTAAATTATCCATGTCCCTTTGTGGGTCTACTCTGAGTAAGACTAGCATAGATTCAACATAATAATGATAATTTTAGTCTTCCTCCAAGAGCGGTTGAGCGACATACTGGCGCGGAATGAGTTACTTTTCATCCCGGCTCAGTTCCCCTGTATGTATATGTGTGTGCTGGGTGTGTGTGTGTGGCAGTTTATTCTTATTTCACTTACTGCATTTGTATCCCTCCGCTTTCCTCCAGAGAGCTCCAGATCATACCTAGTTCTTCTCCCTTTCCTCATTTAATCCCCACCACAACCCCGTGAGGTAGGTTAGGCTGAGAGAGGAAGTGACTAGCCCAGGGTCACGGTTCAGCGGGGATTTGAACCCTTGTCTCTCAGGTCCGCCACTCTAACCACTACATCACTTCTGGCTCTCCCTGAAAGTTAGGGGGCGCTCGGATTTTTGAATGGTGGGTGGATGAGCTTTGGGCTGAAAGGAGGGGTTGGGGGCTCCGACCGGAAGCGCAAAGGACAGTGGTCCCCCTGTGTGGTTTTTTGTGGGGAAGGGACCCAGACCTCCTGGAGATCTCTACCCCACCGCCTACTTCCTCTAGTTTTCTGCGGTTCTTTCTCTCTCTGTGTCTCTGCCGGGCTATATCTTTGGGAGCCGGTCGGACGAGCCTGAAAGCTGGCAGTTCACAGGAAGGCGTTTTTGGTTAGGGGAAAAGGCGGAAGGGACACGGGCGAGAGGCTTCGGTCGCGCGTGCTGCCAGGGGCGCCGTGCGGATGCACTTCGGCTTCCTCGGGTTGGGGTGCTAAAAGTTAAACGCCAGCCTATGGGGCTCGGGAGATGGCGTTTTAGTTGTAGAGGGGCGTTTGTGCAGTGTGTGACATCCGGGGCAGACCTCGGAAGCACAGCCAATGCACATTTAAAGGACCTGAACCGTCCCCTCCCCATCATGGGAACTGTAGTTTGCAAAGGGTGTCAAGAAGTGTCGCTCTGCGAGAGAGAAACTACAGTTCCCAATATCCTTTGGGGGAAGCAGTGTGCTTTAAAATGTGCGTTGGGTGTACCTTAAATGCCCGGCGTGGATCTGCCTTATACGTTCACTAGCGCACGTGGGAGAGGTGCAAAAAAATCGCTGAGAATATAGGCAGTTGATCAGTGGAATAGAGACAGAGAGCCGCTGTGTGATTGTGGACTTTCCTTCTTTAGAGGTTTTTAAGCAGAGGTTGGATGGCCGTCTGTCATGGATTCTTTAGTTGTGATTCCTGCATTGCAGGGGGTTGGACAAGATGACCCCGCAGGTTCCCTTCCAACTCTACAATTCCTAGGATTAATAAGCTAGAACCACCAGCTAGGATCTGGGGGGGGGGGGTGTCCATCGGAGTTCAAACCTCCAGCGGGCCACGAAGCTTAGCTGCGTGTGTCGGGGGCCAGTCGCTTTCTCTCAAGTAACCTATTGCGCAGGGTTGTTTTGAGGATGAAAATGAGAAGAGAGGGAGATCCACACGCGCCGCCTTGAGCTCCTTGGAGAGTAAAGGCGGGGTGCAAATGTGACGAATAAATACAACTGACGAGAAAGGGGGAATGGGAAGCGGGAGGAAGAACAAGGAAACGAAGGAAGAAAAAGAGGAGGGGTCCCAAAGCTGAAAGTCTATGGACATGAGGAAAGGGCGATTGTTGGAACACCTGCTTTGCTGAGGAAGATGCCAGGTTCAAACTCCGCACCTCCAGGTACAGCCGGGAGAGACCCCTGCCTGAAAACCTGGAGGGCCGCTGCCGGTCACTCTAGACAATACTAAGCTAAATGGACCAAAGTCTCTAACTCCGGATAAGGTAGCTTCCCGTGATAGGGGAAGCGCCGTATTCGTGGTAGAGCATCTGCTTTGCGTGCAGAAGACCCCAGATTCCATCCCCCAGTTAGGGCTGGTAGAGACCCATGCCTGAAATCCTGAAGGGGGCCGCTGCCAGCGCAGACAACAGTGAACCTGTCCCAGTATAAGGCGCTTTTCTAAGAGTGGGGGAGGTACAGATAGACGTGATCACCCGTGGGGAAGCTTTCGTGGATGCGCCCAAAATTTAATAGAGGACAGGGTTGTAAAATACTTTTGGATTAGCGATTGGTTATATATTATTTACCTTTACCTGACTATGTTTTCCTACTTGTAGATGAGTAGGAATAGCTCCTCTTAGCAGATGGAGGAGAAAGTGGCAGCAGAACCGGCTGCGTTAAGGGGAAAGTACACGCGTTTGTGGGTCATTGTCGGTGTGGGCGTATGAATGACAGCCTGTGCTTGCGAAACACACACACACACACACACACACACACACGGCATATTTATTGTGTGGGAAAGGTGATCTAAGAATTCCGCCCAGGGAATAGTGATGGTTAAAAAGGGTCAATGGAATTTGTGGATCGAAGCGGCCTGATCTTTCTATAACCCCCTCCCGCTCACAGTTCCTGGGAGAGGGAAGAAAGATAAAAGGGATTGTGTTGTTTTTGGGAGACAGGCAAGCCGTTTGGGAGGGAGGAAGGAGAGGCCGGCTTTGGCCACCGTAATCATGTAAGCAAGATAGGAGCGGAACATCTAACGCGATTAGCTCCTCCAACATGGCTTTTTTGTGTTTCTCAAGGAGCACATGTCTAAGAGCCCTTGGCGCCAGTTGGGGGTGAAATCCTCGCAGCGTCCAGTACCACTTTGCATTCCCCCAAAATATCTCCCCTTCCCTCTGGGGCCGGGTCCCCGTGGAAAGAGCACAGGAAAGCGGGTGGCGTATGGGGAGAGAGAGAGAATGTATACTTTTCAAGGGAAGAGTCACGGGAGCAGGACGGAAAGATTTAGCCAGACACGCGTTTTCACTATCCTCAAAAGATGGGGAGGCTCGCAGCGAGTGTTTCGGAGCTCCATGCAGTCCTGCCCTATAGGGACGTGTTTACTGAGAGGTAAGCTCCACTGACTTCAGTGGGGCTAACTTTCCAGGGGAGTTGTGTCCGGGGATGCAGTTTTAGTCTCAGTTGCCTGCAGCTCGTTGTGGAGAAAGACGTGCAGGGGGAGAGGCGGGCAGGAAGGGAAGGGCCGGAGTGAGCGTGAGAGAGGCTTCCTCACGGCTTCTGTTAGAAACTGGTCCAAAACTTTGTTCTTCTCCACCTTCTGGATAGAGTCCCACAAAGGAGTGGGTGGGTTAATAGCAGTGCGTACAATCCTCCCTCCCTCCCAGCTCCTGATGGGCTCTGAGCTGGTTGAGGCCTTCTCAGAGAACAGGGAAAACTCAGGATTCTCCCTCCCGTCCCCTTCCCGTGAAACCAGAAGGAAGGTTCTGGGAGACTTCTCGGTTCTCCTTAGCTCACAGGACAACAAGGTTCCAACAGACATCTGGGCATCCGAAGTCCCCTCCTTCCCTCTCTCTTTAACATTTGCAACTGAGGAGCTTTTAGTCCATCCCATCCCATCCTAGGAAAGTTCTTAAAGGATGAGCAAATCAGTATACACGCCATACATTTAAGCCACATACACAGATGGACAGAATCCGGGGAACTATAGTTTGCTCAGGGTGCCAGGGTGGTGTAAACTACAGTTCCCACAATTCTTAGGTGGAGGGTATGTGCTTTAAATGCATGATGTGTACCAGGGTGTTTTCCATATGCTCTCCTCCTTCCATACAGCCTACTTCCTCAGCAAATTATAATACACTTCAGTATTCACTTCTAAGCTGAGCCATCGCACATGCAAAAGAATATTTAGAATCCTGATGTCCCTCACATTCCTTATTGTCACGGGTACTTTAATTGTGATTCCTGTATCACAGGGGGTTGGACTAGATGGCCCTTGGGGTCCCTACCATCTCTAAGAAGCCAGTCATTCTGTATGGAAATTCTCCCTACTTTCCAAATGATAACAATAGGAATCTCTCTCTCTCTGTCTCTCAGTAGTTCCTTTCAGGTTTTATCCTCACAGCAATCCTGTGAGACAGGTTAGGCAGAGTCCATAAATGTCTGATCCAAGGCAGATGACAAGGGTGCTGAAGATGGCTGAGGAGGGATTCCAAACAGGCCAACCTCTTCTCCTAAAGTTGTTCACTCAGAAATAAGTCCCACGTAGTTCTTTGGGCCCCAGGAAACGTGTTCTGGGTTGCAACCCTTCCCAAAGTGTATAGGAAGTCAATATCAATAGAATACTGTAATAGAGTTGCAGAGTTGTAAGGGACCCCATGAGTCATCTAGTCCAACCCCCTGCAGTGCAGGAATCTCAGATGAAGCGTCCATGACAGACGGACATCCAATCTCTGCTTTAAAACCTCCAATACTGTAGTGGGATTCGTTTCTGTTTCAAAGTGCTTGAGGGTTATAGCGCTATGCCCCCTTAACTGGAAGCAAACTTCCAGAGCGGGTAAGCCCAGTTAGATCTGTCCTGCAAAAGCAAGCAAACAAAACAAAAAGCAAGTTTCTTGTATCACCTTAAGCAGGAAGTCCTTCTGGCATAACTTTTTATTACGATACCTTAAAGGAGTCCACTTCATCAGAAAGTTGGGACATCACAAATGTTGTTGGCCACTAATCCTAACCCGATTTACTTGAGGGAAAAGCTACACTGAATTCAATGGGACTTACTTCTAAGTAGGCCGTAGGAGGTGCCACAACGGCCTCCCTCGGAAAGCAACACTATCAAACCAGAATGGACTTACTTTAATGAAAAGAAACATGCATAGGATTTGCTGAAGGGTGTGTGTGCGATTGTTGGCTCCACATTGGAATTACCAGAAGGGTGATCATGTCTGATTTCCTCCTGCTTCCAGTTTTGGAATGATGATTTGGGGGGGGGGGGAGGTGACTGGAATAAAACTCTCGAGGCATAGACCAACAGGTTCCTACCCTCTAATTTCCTCCGCACGCCCACATCGCGACGTTACCCTTTGCGGCCCTCTAGAATGTTTACGGATTACGCCGCCTGCGAAATCGCCCGCGCTCCCCTCCTAATGGTGTGCAAACTTCCGACGATTCCGAGTGACCTCCCAGACTAAGCCCCCTGGAGACTCGTATTCTGGAGGGAGGCTGCACTAATCTGAGGATCAAAAGCGGGAAGGTGCGAACGCTCTTTGTGTCTCCTCGGCAGCCTCATTCCACCCGCCCCCCTAGCCCCACTGCCCCGCCTGCGTGTGATAAATCTACACTGGCGCCGACTGCGCGCTGGATGATTAATTTGCAAGCAAACCTAACCAGCCCGCCGACCCAAGTCACCCTATGGCCAGCCCAGCCATCTTAGTTAAATATTGGCCAAAAGAGCTCGGTGGTGCACGTTTTAGCCGCGCTTTTTCTCCCCCTTAGACTGCAGGAAAGTCTCGAGGACAAACTAAATCAACACAACTAAAAGAGGAGAAAGAGACCAGAAGGAAGGGGCGGCGGGGAAGGCATCGGATGGCGGAGGGAAGAAGATAACGCGGACTTTCTTCTCTGGAGTCTCTGACCAACCATCTTAGGCTCCATCTCGCCTCATCCAGGGGAGGCTAAAGCCTTTGCTCTGGTTCTCTAACCAAAGTGGCTGAGGGATGAGGGAGGGAGGCAGATACAGCTCAGCCTTTAAACTCAAGGGCGAGGGAGTGGGAGAGGGTAGGACGCCTGAGGTATCGATAAGGAGGCATCTGCCTGGCGTCGATCCAGCTGTCTACACTCATTGCTATCGAACCTATGTTGATTTTCCTAACCAGAGCTGGAAGGGGCGTTCCTATTCTGTGTTCTCTACACCTTATTGGGGGACAGCGGTAGGGTTAAGGTGCTGCTGACCGCCCCTCCGCCCCCCGTGTCCCCGCGCGCTTCTGTGAAGGAAGATCTGCCCTTCATGGACCACCTCCTCAGGAGCAGGGCAAGGTCAAGCGCTTCCTAAGAGGTGGCCTGTCAGAGTTTGTGGCATATCCAGGGGTTCGGAGAAACGCGTAGCCCTTTCTCCAAACTCTAAGGATAGGGCTGGCGGGTGTTCTCGCCCGTTGGGTACCTGTCGCAGTCAAGAGATAAGGAACACTTTCGACGAAGCTGTCGGACTACAGATCCCAACATTCCCGACTGCTCTCCTACCCATAGGTGCCCAATTCTTGGGGCCCTGGGTGCCCGAGCACCCACAAAATTCCCCATGAAGGGGCCGGGCACCCACAAATTTCGGTGCCAGGGCCATGCACGCTGCATGGCACCCACGGCCCCGGGCACCCACGGACGCGGGGCCAAGCTAACACTCCTGCTCCTGGCTGCCTGGGAATGATGGTAGTCGGAGATCCCCGATGTCTGGAGGAACCACGAATTCCCCCCGTTTCTGGTCTACAGGCTTCCAAATTATTACATTCATTTTCCTCCAAGGAGCTCAAGGTGGCCCGCGCAGTTCTCTCCCCTTCCTCATTTTATCCTCACAACAACCCTACGAGGTGGGTCAGACTGAGAGAGCGGGACTGGCCCAAGGTCACCCTGTCTGAGCGAGGATTCGAAGTCTGGTCTCCCAAGGTCCTAGACGGACACTCTAATCATCACGCCACGGAGATACAGGAGCTTCAGCCTTGGCTCACTGTCCCAAGAGTTCAAAGAGACCCGCATCACCCACCCTCCGCCACTCTTTATCAGCTCAGTAACGGTGTTACTAAGTAGGTTTTGCCAAAAGGTGTGTGTGTGGGGGGGAGAGTTGGCCAACGTCACCCAGTGAGCTCTAGAACAGACTTGCAAGTCTCTGTGGTCCAAATCTAACGCGCTAACTTCGATAAATTCAATGGCAGGTTGCAATTAAGCAAGCCTCGCGGTTTGTTTGCTTTTAAAAGACACGACTATTATCTAGGATATTTTTTGAAATATTCTCCCCCAAATGGCAAATTATGAATGGACAAACACCTGATTGCCACCCAGGACACTACACCGTTTCATTCTTCGGTTTTCGTTTGTCAACGCGGGATTAAACTGAGGCTACTGTACACACTATGCACTGAAAGTGTATCCGAAGTGCACCCTCTCCCGCAAAGAATTTTGGGCACTGCAGAGTTTCAGTTCCCAGCAAGACCTTATAAATTAGCCCTGAATTACAAATTAGCCCTGAATGAGGGGAATGTGCTTTAATGGTCGTAGCGTGTACGCAGCCTCGGGTCGGTCGTGTTCCAGCGCTTGAAAAATCATAGCTAACCATACTGTACTTATTTATATATCTGGGCCTTTCCTCCAGGGAGCTCAAGGTTCTCCCTTGCTTACCCCTCCCAATTTTAATCTCACAACAACTTTGTGAAGCAGGTTAGGCTAGCCCAAAGTCACCGGGTGAGCTTCAGAGCTGAAACTGGGATTCAGGTCTCCTCAGTCCTAAACCCTGAACCTCTAATTCAACAGTAGCCAAGGCGATGCCTTTTAGATATTGCTGAATCACCACTCCTATCCCCTCTGACCATTGGTCCTGCTGGCTGGGGCTGATGAGTATTGGAGTCAAACTGCGGCTGGATGGCACCGTTGGCTAGCCCTGCTCTAACTACTACACCTCACTGCCTTTCCTCTCAACGCGGATCTCCGTCTCCTCCTGTGCCTTGTGGCGTCCGCTCTAACTCTGATCCGCGAATATTTGGGCCGCTTGAAAAGCGTCGCCTTCTTTTATTTTGCCCAGGAGGAAGGTCTTTCTCATTATTCTCCTATTGCAGTGAAACCACGTAGGAGGAGATTCAGCTACCGGATTCCAGATTTAAAACTATTTAGGCAACAACGCTATTTAAAAACAGGAATACTTCAAAAAATCGCTTCGTAGGGAGTGATCTTAGGAGTATCATTCCCTCTCTTAAAAATAGAATACCCGCTGAATACGTTCCTCTCTCAACAAGGGTTTTAAAGTGGGGCTCTTCCCCCTGCCTGTATCAGTCCTGGAGCTATTTTTAACCGATTTTTGAAATATATGTGGAGTCGCTTTTAAATGTCTTTAGTGTGTGCGGGTGTGTATGTGGAATTGTGTAAGTGATATTTGCATTTATATATTCACCTTTCCTGCAAGGACCTCAAGGCGGCCTACGCAGGTCCCGCAACCTTCATTTTATCCTTGCAACAACTCTGTGAGACAGATTAGGCTGAGAGTCTGCAACCGGCCCAAGGTCACCCGGTGATCTTCACGGCGGTGTGTGTGTGTGTGTGTGTGTGTGTGTGTGAGTGTGTGTGTGTGTGTGTGTGTGTGTGTGAGAGAGAGAGAGAGAGAGAGAGAGAGAGAGAGAGAGAATTCGAACTCTGGTCTACCAGCTCCTAGCCCACCACTCTAACCACCACACCACCCTGTCACCCGCCCCCGGGGTGACTTTCAGGGGAAAGGGAGATCTGAGGCTTGTCTCAAATGCTAGTAACCGCTCAGGGTTACACCCATGGGTACTAAGGGACGCGACTTAAGTTGGGTCCGATTTACTGAAAGGCGCGCGGCTTTTCCAAAGGGAGCCTAATGCGGAGTCAGACCTTGTTGTCTAGGCGGCTAGTTTGGAGCTTTCTAGAGCCTTCCCCAACCACCGCCAGGAAAGAAAAGAAGAAGAAAAAACATGCAGCAGGCGGTGTTTATCATCAATGCACTGCCCGCGGTGGGGAGAGGGTGAAATTGATGTCGGCGTCCCTTTCGCCCTAAATATGCGGCGAGCCGCGCGTGAGGTCCGGCAATCAGGCAATTACACGCTCCTTCCCGACTTAAACTTTCACCCCCGTTTGGAGGGCTGCGACAGAAGTCGGCTTCGGGGGTAGGAGAGGAGGCGTTCCTAAGTGCCCTCCCGCGTTGACATATAAGCGGCATCCTCAGCCTTTTGTGGAAGCTCTGAAAGACTTTTTCAGCTGCTCATTAAGGAAAGTTATTTTTTTTTTTGCGGGGGCGGGGGTGTGGAGAGTTAGTTAATCACCTCTTGGGACTGCATAAACTCCTTACACTTCGCGGGGAAGGCGAGAGGCCAGGAGCGCAAACGCATTGTCTTTCGCTCCTCCCGCCCCCTTTCGCGCTGCCACTAGCTTTGAAAGGAAGGTAGAAAGGTCTCCAGCACCCTCGGGCCTCGGGACCTCGGGCTTTGTTGTGGGTCTCGCGTTTTGCAAGGGGGAGAATGGGTCGCTTGACTTCTGGGCAGGCAGAGGTCAGGTTCGCCTCCCCAGCTGACCATGGTTAAGAAAACAGCCACTGCAGAGGCCGAACTTCTAAGGCTGAGAGCCTGCAGGTCGATTTAAACGTTTTGGGCAGCTAAAATAAAGTGATCTCGATTAATCGGTCACTTTTTGATTTTAAATAGGAGTACTTTAAAAAAAAGTCACCTTTATTTGGTGTGTAAGGTGCTTTGAGTTGCTCGGGAAAGAGCAAATGACTAAGGAAGTCAATCAACAAGCAAACAAACAAATAAGATTTCCCTCCAAGGAGCTGGAGGTGGCATACATGGTTTCCCCCTTCCCCTTTTATCCTCACAACAACCTCTGAGATAGATTAGGCTGATAGACAGTGATTGGATCAAGAGCACCCAATGTGGGGATTTGAACCCTGGTTTCCCAGGTCATAGGGACGCGAGTGGCGCTGTGGTTTAAACCACAGAGCCTAGGGCTTGCCAATCAGAAGGTTGGCGGTTTGAATCCCCGTGACAGGGTGAGCTCCCGTTACTCGGTCCCTGCTCCTGCCAACCTAGCAGTTCGAAAGCACGTCAAAAGTGCAAGTAGATAAATAGGTACCGCTCCGGCAGGAAGGTAAACGGCGTTTCTGTGTGCTGCTCTCGTTCTCCAGAAGCAGCTTAGTCATGCTGGCCACATGACCCAGAAGCTGTATGCTGGCTCCCTCGGCCAATAAAGCGAGATGTGGCCGCAACCCCAGAGTCGGCCACGACTGGACCTAATGGTCAGGGGTCCCTTTACCTTTAACTTCCCAGGTCATAGTCTAGCACTCTGACCATTTCACCGTACAGGTTCTCCTTCAGTTCCATTCAAAAACTTGCTCACATCACCTTGCAGGTGCTAGGCATGCAGCTAACTCCACCAATTAGCTAAAAACTAACCTTGTTTACTAACTAGTGGCAAATATTTCTTTAACCTGGGGAGAGCCCCTATCGCTTCCTAGGAAGATTTCCAGAGGGACTAGCCACCTTAGTTTCCTGCAGCAAAAGCATAGACTCTTGCAACACCTTAGAGACCAACTAGTTTATTATGGCAAAAGCTTTTAAAGACTCAAGCCCACTTTTGTTAGATGCATGGAGCAAGATTTTAGCTGTAAATGAGAAGATTGCAAGGTGGGAGTCAAATGGCAATGAAATGGAAAAAATACAGTCAGTGATAAGTGTTTAAATATATGTTAAACAGGCACACCTTTTACCGTAGCAGACTGCTGATAACTTGCTCAGTGTTGCTGTATTAACACATGCAGTTGGGCTGGGAGCTATTCCCAAGAAATAGTCATAGATACCACAGATATCCTGGCACTGGCCAGCTAATGAAGACACACAATGTGATAAAAATCCTATGTCTTGATTTAGTGTTCATAATTCTTTGATAAATTCTGATTCAGCTGTAGCCTTCCTAGGAAGAATTAATTAATCCAAAGAGTTTAATTTTAGAATCAAGGCTTTCCTCCTTTCCATTCCCATTGCCACCCTTGTAGAAGGTTTGACATTGGAAAAACCATGCAATGAAATGTCTCTGGGGCATGTGGAGACAGCATTTATCTCCCACTGGAGGGTCCGGGGTGGAGATGAGAGCTAGTGTGCTGTTTGCTAGAGAATTGAGATACACCCCCCTCCATGATTTTTTTCCCTCTCACTCCTTTTCCACATCTGCAATTTGTGGATAATAAAACTAATAAGACAGTGTTGCTGCAAGAATTACCAAGATAATGTGGAGTGCTCTGAATGCTCCAGAGCACTATGTAAATAGTATCTGATATAACTGCCGCAGACGGCTGAATTTCTCCCGGATATGCATACTAAGTGTTCAGCAGCCACAGCTGATGGGTTGGCCACACATTTGAGCTCAAGGGGCTGGTGGGGGCAGGCCAGAAGTGGAGATCACATTTTAGTAGTCTCCTAAGGTCTCACGCAGTAAAAGACACATGAACTGTGTATGTCTGAAATAGGCTGGGCCTTCTCCAAGTCACATTTTTTATGGATCCTGCTGGTGACAACAGGTGTTGTTCCTTGGCCTTGGGACAGGCAGTAAGAGGAGCTATTTGGAGGTGAGTCCTGGCACAGAACAGATGCAGCCAGCCAGCAAGGCCTCTTCCCTCTATTACACCCCACCTCCTCCTGCAAGGAGCTCTGAGTAGCATATATGACAGCCCCACCAGCCATTCTATCTGCGCTACAGCCCCTTCAGGTAGGAAAGTTAGGTTAAGAAAGAAGGCCAGCACTGACAGAGTGGAGATTTGAAACGGGCTCCCCCCGCTTCTCCTCTATCTAGTATACCCCAGGGAGGTTCAGCTGGTGCTTTTATTATACACCTTTAAAGGTAAAGGAACCCCTGACCATTAGGTCCAGTTGTGACCGACTCTGGGGTTGCGGCGCTCATCTCACTTTATTGGCCGAGGGAGCCGGCGTACAGCTTCCGGGTCATGTGGCCAGCATGACTAAGCCGCTTCTGGCGAACCAGAGCAGCACACGGAAACACCGTTTACCTTCCTGCTGGAGCGGTACCTATTTATCTACTTGCACTTTGACATGTTTTCAAACTGCTAGGTTGGCAGGAGCAGGGACCGAGCAACGGGAGCTCACCCCATCGTGGGGATTCGAACCGCTGACCTTCTGATCGGCAAATCCTAGGCTCTGTGGTTTAACCCACAGCGCCACCCGCGTCCCTTATACACCTTTAGGTGCCAGGCAAAAACGTTCCTCTTTAACCAGGCCTTTGGCTGATTGCCCTTTTAAAATGTGTTGGGGAGGAGGGGCGTTATCGGTTTGTTCTTGTTTGTATTTTTTATTATTTCTTTTGTGTTTTTACATTGTGCTTTTATGTTGCTAACCGCCCTGAGACCTGTGGGATTGGGGCAGGAATCAAATTTAATAAATAAAAATAAAATAATAATGTCCTTAGACAGGCAGCAGTGCTTCTGGATTTCAGACAGGGGTCTCTCCAAGCCCTACCTGGAAATGGGAGGGATTGAGCCTGGGGCATTCTACATGCAAAGCAGATGCTCTACCACTGAATTAAGGACCCTGACCAGCCGATGGACATGAGTCTTGCACAGGTTTCCACTGCTTCCGGGAAAGTGCTGTAGCTCAGTGATATAGCATCTGGTTTGCATGGTGAAGGTTCATGGTTCAGTCCCTGGCATCTCCAGGTAGAACTAGGAAAGACTAGTTCTGAAACCCTATGGAGCTCTGTCAATCAGTTAGCTAAATGGATCAATGGTCTGACTCTGTATATGGCAGCTTCCTATTTCCATGAAGCTTATAAAGAGAGGAAGTTGTGACCCAGGTGTCTTACTAACCCTGTTTGCATACAAAAAAATGTGCATTGAAGTGTTTAATTTCTCAGCATTGGCTTATGTGTAGTGCATATTTACCAGGCACGGAATACAAGAGATCTTGGGGGATACTTACTAAACATGATTTTATTTATCAGATGGTTGTAAGAATCACTGCAATAATAATGATGGCGAAACTTACCGGAAGAATAAGAAATCAAGATAACAAACTTTTTATAAAAAGAATGGAAGTGGTTTATTGAATATTTACAGATAAATTGTAAACAGATAAAAACATTAGCAGGATTATTGTAATAACCTGCAGTTTTATAAGAGTATATATTTATAGTAGATAATTAAACGAGCAATTTAAATGAACTTGGATATGCAAAAGATATTAAAAAATAAATTTAAGGAACCACAGAAAGAGTGGGGAGGAAGTCGGATTCAGAAATGTTAAATTGACTGTAAAACTAATGAAATGTATAAATTTGAAAAGTATAAATAAAAAACTAAAAAAAAAAGAATCACTGCAATAATGACTTGTATCCAACCTAACTCATACTCAGAGTAAACCCATTGGAACAAATGGGCCTAAATTAGTTAGGTTCATTCATGTTAATAGGTCTGTTCTGAGTAGGTCTGATATTGGATTCAGCACAACGTATAGATCCAGTGTTAGTCATATGCAGAGTAGATCCACTGACATTAATGAACACAATCAATTTAGGTCTATTAATGCCAGTGGGTCTACTCTGAGTAAAGATCAGTCTGAATTTATATCCCGCCCTTTCCCCAATGATCTCCTCAATGATCTCAGGGTGACATAAATGTTTTTTCCCCACAACATCTCATTAAATTTCCACAACTGTGTGAGACAGGTTAGGCTGAAAGGCAGTGACTTGCCCAAGGTCAGCCAGTGAGCTTCATGGGCAAGGATGGGGATGTGAAGCTTGGTCTCTCAGGTCCTAGTCCAAACTCTAACCACTATGCCACACTGGCTCTCACTCTACCAACTACTGATGGAGTGCATGCAGCTGATAAGAAGATAATCATTATTGGGTAAAATCAACTAATGGGGAACTGCCACCCAATCCTTTTCCAAGAAAATGTGTCCTATTCCTCCACTCTGCTGGGCTCTGTAATGAATTCAGAATGGAACCGAAGGTGTCCACAACACGTTTAAGTGGGTCCAATTTAAGAAGATCTTGTTGCATTCACATGACTGGGCTTAAGTGGGGGCTTCTCCCTAGCAACACATGACACACTGAGTGAATGCAGGCCAAAGATACTAAGAGTTCCTGTTCATTACAAAGGGATCTGTAGAGGACAACTTTCCAAAGGGTGTTGCCCATGGATTCCCATTTCCCATCTTAATTGTGTCAAGTGAATTATCTCTTTGATGGACCTTCTAATCATCTGGGTTTTTAACATCACTTTGTTCTCACCACTCCATTTTCTCTAGAGGTCTGCTTCTATGCGTCTATAAAATCATGTTTGTCCGTGCTTAAAGTAGGGAAGGGAACATAAGGATGTAAGAAGAGCCTGGGGAATCCAACCAGTGGCCCAACTAGTCTAGCATCCTAGTGGCTAACAACTGGAAAGCCCACAAGCAGGACCTGAGTGAAACAGTACTCTTCCCACCTGTGATTCCCAGCAAACAGTCCGCAGAGGCCATGGAGTACCATGGAGGTGGAATGTAGCCACCATAGCTAGTAGCTGTTGATACCTTATCCTGCATGAATTTGTCTTATCCTCCTTAAAAAAACCCTGCTAGATCTGGCCAAAGGCCAACCTAATCCAGCATCCTGTTCTCACAGTGGCCAACCAGATGCCTGTGGGAATCCCCAAGCAGGACTCAAGCACAAGAGCCCTCTCCCCTCCTGTGGTTTCCAGCAACTGGTATTCAGAAGTACACTGCCTCCCACAGTGGAGATAGAACATAGCCATCAGGTCTGGTAGCTCCTGGCCCTGCAGAATCATAGAATCATAGAATTGTAGAGTTGGAAAAGACCCTGAGGACCATCCAGTCCAACCCCCTACAATGCATGCAGCTGTCCCAAACAGGGATCAAACCTGCAACCTTGACATTATCAGCACGGTGCTCTAACCAACTAAGCTATGTCCTGTGCCAACTTGTTGAACTCCCAGCTTCTCAGCAACCCCATCATAGCCTAGGATGAGCAATGGAAGTGTTCTGATGGAGGCCCACTGAATTGTATAGAATTCTAGTCCTATTTGGAGTAGACCCATTGAAGTTAATAGGCATGACTAATTTAGTTTCACAGCCAGTGTTGTGTAGTGGTTAGAGAGTTGGACCAGGACCTGGAAGACCAGGGTTCAAGCTGTCAGGTGGCCACAAAGCACCGTGGGTGACCTTGAGCTAGTCACTACCTCTCAGCCTAACTTACCTCACAGGTTGTTTGGGGGATTAGAGAGTTTGGTGGGGGGGAGAGAACCATTTATGCTACCTTGAGCTCACTGAAGAGAAAGGTGGTATATAAATGCAACCGACACAACTAATTTCAATGGGTCTACTCTGAGTTGGGTAAACCCCACAGGTTCCCTCTCTTAAAGGACTAGATATACCCATAGGCAAGACAAGAGCTCAAGGAAGGGCTATCAGCTACTTAGCCGCGAGAGCTAAATAGAGTCTTCATGTTTAGGGAGCCCTTGTCTTTGAATACACAGACGCTGCGGATGGACAAAGGCGGAACGCTGGTTGTGAGCTAGTAGGAGGAGGCATCTGTCTGACCGCTTTTGGAAACAGGATACTGGGCTCGATGGATCTTGGATGTGCTCCAGCAGGGCTTTGGGCGATATTAGTCTGTTCATATGTTTTGGGGTTGCAGGAGCCAGAAACTCACGTAGGTTACTTCCTCCGTTTGTTCCTTCCAGACGCTCCTTTGGTTACTCGTTTGTTTCTGTCCCAAGAAGACATCACACGCGTGTGTGTGTTAAAAAGCTATCCAGCTTTCCTGTAACTTACTCTTACATATCCTTTGACACAGTCTCTGAATTATTGATCGGGACAATTTAGTGCAAGAGTCAGAATATTGTGTGTGTGTGAGAGGGAGCAACGCGTCGATTTTCGAAGTTGCCTAGCTGGGGGATGCATTATTTTTAGCCTATAGACCTTGCAATGGCGCCAGCCGCTTTCGAAAACCTCATAAACCATCGGACTCTATGCATATAATCTATCTGGATCTCTCTTTCTCCTCTCTCTAATTCCCTTTCCCACCCTCCCCGCTCCCCTAAACACAGCCTGTGCCAATAAAAACATCTGGATTAGCATACATTCCCAGTTCTTCCTTGTAATCATTCCTCTTACATTGATTATTAGATATTGCATTGGACAACTTCATAACCGTTTTTGAACTATGCTATATGGCTTTCTGCCCGGGCAGTCTAGCTAATGTTGACTGCTACTTAATTTTTATGCTTACGGCTATTTTCGAGGTGTGCCCCCACCTCCTCCGCATACTCCAGTCACTTCATTTTGATATTTTTATTGGTGAAGGATCTAGCCAACGTTAAGCAATTTAAAGCCACGTTAATGTCAACGCGAGAGATTCAAGCCGCGCGCTTGGCTCTCTCTGGTTGAAATCGACTAGACGAGCGCCTTCAATCTTGTAAGCACAAACTTACCGTACATACTTGGGACTCAGCTGCTGCGCTGATGTCCTTGCCATAGGATTGCGCTGTAAAATCCTAAACTTTTGGCTAAATCGGGCTCCTCCCCCCCCCCGGTGTTTCGATCGCTTTCGGAATAAGGGATCCTGGCAGCGGGCGCGCGTGCAGAAAGGTAAAAGGACTCAATCCACCCATCTAATTTTGTGAGAGTGGCTGGATTATTATAAACCCTTTTTACCCCGATTCTAAACACATAAAAAACCAACCACGCCAAAAAACAAAAAAAGCCAAACCTAAAGTCTAGTGAAATTAGAAACTAAGTGAGATTGACTGCCGAGTCTGCTCATGCCAGTGAATGCGATCTCATTGCCCTGAAATTAATGACCACATTCCCATTCATAAAATCCAACCGGAATAAATCTAATGGAGTGGGGAATTTCTCATCCGCTACCCATCCGCCCCCCCGCACCTTTTTAAAGCAAGTTATAAAATCTTAATAGAAATCTTAATCGGGAGTTTGGGGAAGTTTTCTTTAAAAATAAGTAGTAGTAGTAGTAGTAGTAGTAGTAGTAATAGTAATAGTAATAGTAATAGTAATCCTCAAACAGAGACCAAACCAGGATTTCTTACACGCCGAGGCTCGTTTGGAGGGAAGGCGCGTTCCCTTCTCACATCTTTTAGACCCCATATGATTTATGATTGCTAAGGAATAACCCCATTTACGTCCGAGTTACAGCACAGAACCCTGCACATGTATGCACAGAAATATGTGCCGTTGAGTTCCAGGGGGACCTATTCCCATGTAAGCGTGTGACGAACTGCAGACTCAGTAACTAGGGGAATAGGAACTCGTCAGGTACATCATAGACAACGACAGGAGCGCCAACTTGGCCCCGCGGGGCAGAGACTGTGAGCGCCCGGGGCAGTGGGTGCCATGCAACGTGCATGGCTCTGGCATCGAAATTTGTGGGTGCCAGGCCCATTCATGGGGAATTTTGTGGGTGCTGGGGCACCCAGGGCCCCAGGGAGTTAGCACCTATGGGTATCGATGCATTTAGCCTTGTTATCTACTTTCCCTTGATCTTTCCACTTGTATTTCTTTCTTTCTTTTTAATATTGATATTGAGTTGCTAAGTCCTACTCCCAGCAGACCCACTCAAATTAGTTGACTAAAGTTTGTCATGGATCAATAGAAATGTTTGCAGAATCAAAACAAGGATTAAAAAGGGGGTGAAAGAGAAGTCAATGATTATGTCCCTAAAGCAATACTCAGAGCAGTCCCATTCAAATAAATGGACCAATGTTAGACTGGACTCTAAGTTACGTCCAGTAATTTCGAGTGGGTCTTCTCTGAGCAAGACTTAATTGGATATAACCAAATACTTATATTCTCCTGTTACGGGAAGAATCCCAATGGTGGGTGAGTAGATAAGGGCCATCTCAGGTTGACAGCAGGAAGCTGCAGCCTCAGAAGTTCTGAGACCATTTAGCATTCCAACAATTCATTTTATCAGAAGGCAGGTGATACTTCATTTTACTATTTGGCCGGTGATCTGATTCAAACTTATCCTATCCATCTGTCTGTTTACCACAGTGTACCATATCTGATAGGCTGTGTGTGTTTTAAAGAATTGGCTCTATTGATGTTTTGCCTTCATGGTTGTTGTTTATTTATTTATTTGTTGCTGCTTTGTGTTTTACTGTTAATCGCCTTGCACACCTTTTGGTGGAAAGGCGGGAGACAAAATAAATAAATCTATATTATCTCTCTCTCTTTCTCTTTCCCCCTTCCCCTTTCTCTATAAATGATGGTGCTCTTGAAGGACACGATTGTGTGCAATTTGATCTCCGGAACAGGACCTCTGTGTTCCTTTGCGGGTGAATTTTGGCCTCCTCTCTGACACCGGGACCTCTGCCTAGAAGAAGCTCAGCGTAGCAGGCCCGCAAACAAAGACACAAATCAAGAAGATGGACCTCCCATCCTAAACATGTGATCCCACCTTACATGCCAACTCAACTTACTTTCCAGTTAAGAGCTGAGATATCCCAGAAGCAAGAGGCTGCTTTGTCCCGGCCTCCGGTGTCTACAGACTCAGTTTCCTGTAGACCCGGTACAACCAGGTCGACCAGATTTTGTGCTGCAGACAGAGAGCGAGCGAGAAAGAAGGCGAATGTAACTTATCACCTGTCACCATCGTGGCACACACAGTTCCTCCTAAGCCTAGTCACGGTCCCACAGACTCTCCCCCGCCCTCCGCCGAAGAGGACAAGTCGAGGGGTCCTTGCCGTGTCTCCCACCCAGCTGTATCCCCATCGCAGGCACTGAAGAAGGACATGGTAACCAGGAGCCAGGACCAGTTGAGGAGGTCGACCTCCTCCTTCTCTTCTCGCTTCACCTGGAGGAGCCGAACAAAGGGGGCATTTGATCCTGTGCTCAGATGAGCTGTCAACCGCTGCTGGTGTTTTGAAGCACGGCCAGTTAGGCAGCCGCTGCTAAGCAATGGACTGATACTTCAGAACTTTGGAGGTGGGGAGGGGGAAGGAGATATAATCTGAAGTTGGGCGCGGGGGGGGGGAGGAACAGGAGACATCTGTAGCTGGAGGACAGCGAAAACCCGGCGGCGCGGGGGAGGTGTTGGTGGGAGGAAAGGGGCTGCTGTCCATAGAGGCAGGAGTAGGGGGAAATTGGCAGGCAGGCGCAGGATGGAGCCCGCCGGATCGGCTGAACTAACGCCCATCTTGTAGCCGAAGACACGTTTTCTCAATTTGGGCACGGTATCTATTACCATATTGGGTTTCAATTAAAGAGACAATTAAAAAAAAAAAAAAGCTTGAGCTGGGAGGGACGAAAGAAAGAGAGAACGGAAAGAGAGAGAGAGAGAAAAGAAGGAATAAAGATGGATGTCAGTTCCCCAACGCCGCTTAATCCAAGTTCTTTCTTTTGCCAAAGACACATTAAATTAATGTGTCGCGGGGGCTGAGGAGACATCTCCCTAATTGTGGAGAGTAGGAAAGCCATCGGGGAGCCAAACGCGCCGGCTCGCTCGTTTCGAGGCCCTGTGATCAGCGATTGATGGAGCACAGCCTGGCCAAGCCTTGTCAATTACAGTTTAGGCTTATACATGATGTAGTCAATTTCATCCAGGTTGGAGGGACGTCATTTCCAAAAGCCCCGAAGTCTTCCGCCCCCTCCTCGTATTCCTCCCCCACCAACACCCTCTCTTTTCGGCTCAGCGCTTTCCCTCTCTTCTTGCCGGGGTCCAACCGTGTCTGTTGCCTCGGATACAATTCCCCACAAGTACAGATGGGGATGGCCAGGCACAGAAAAAGTGCTGTCCGCCATCGCCTCCTATACAATTATCCTCCAGCATCGTTTTACTTGGGAAAACCCCCCCCCATCCTCAAATGCAGTAAGCAGGTCATTTGCCTCTCTGTTCACCTTAGAAGTTAGGGAGCTCTTATGAACCTCAAGAGAAGTTAATTTCGCATGCCTTAAAAAAAAAAAAGAGGCAGTTTCTTATTCTTCAAAAAAATGGGTGCGTTTTCAAAGCTTTTCATTTACAATCTTCTCTCGCTACAGAAGGAAGGTCTGGCACGGGGCTGGGGGTGGGAGAGATAAAATTCGGAATCTGGAGTCGTCTTTAACTAAGCAATGCAGTACCAGAGGCATAGGCTCAAAAAGACTGTCTTTTCTCCCAAGTATTTTTGTATCTGTCGATTAAAATCGCAGAGCCCCAAATGAATACTCGTGACTCGCAACACACACACACTTGACACGACGAACGTGCATTTTATTAATTAAGGGGTTGCATCTCCAGGTCTTGGGCTTCTTTTTGGTCCACGTAGTGTCGTACCCCCCCCATTTTTTAAAATTTGAAACCTATTTTGTTAGTTCATCTGTCTCTCTTCTGCCTGCACGGGTGGGGAAATAATATATTAAAATACGGTGTTTAAAATCGAACTACATGCCAGGGGGTTGGGGTGCGGGGAGGGAAGGAAGGATTTCATAAACCACATGTGCGAAAACAAAGCCAGATTACATTTTGTGGGGAAGGAAGCTAAAACGATGAAAGATAGAGAGAAAAAGAGAGAGAGAGAGAGAGAGAGAGAGAGAGAAAGAAAGAAAGAAAGAAAGAAAGAAAGCAAGCACGAATGAGTCGTGCAGGGGCCGATCCTGCGCTTTTTAATCGTACTATATTCAAAGGAGTTTAGTTCTCAAATGAAACAGAGCTAAACTTCCAGAATTAGATGGTGAGGACAGTCTTCATCTCCGGAGTGGAGGTCTCTTTTCTCCCGATATATTCTCCGCTGCTGATGGCTGAGATCGTTAGGCCTTAAAGAGGCTCGGGAGCCTGCGCCTTTGAACGCTCAAGAGCTTAATTCGGAGCCGGGACGTCCAATCTGGAGCTGTTTAAAACAGCAGTTTTCTGGACATGTCATCGGCAGGAGCGAAAAGCAGGAATAAAAATTTACTCCGGTCTTCCCTCCACCTCCCCCTCTTCTGGAGGCTGAGAGGGGAGATAATTCCTGGGATGGCAGCGAGCTTGTCCTCACTTAAGAGTTTGTTAAGGCGCAGCGCCTCGGCGCTGCGGAGCCCTGGCTGTCCCCAGGGCGAAGCGAACAGACAGGCAGGCGGGCAGAATTCGAAGCGACCCTGCAGCCAGCGGCCTCTGACTTTACAGCCCCCTGTCCTGACCATCTTCGGAGCTGCAGGAACACGTAGCCCCATCTTCGGCACGTATATACTCCTCGGAAGTAAGTTCCGCAGACTTCAGTGGCGCTTTGCTTTCAAGGCAAATGAGCAGAGAAAGTAGTTCTAGAGTATGTCTCCCTTTTTTTCTGACGAAAGGACACGAATATTTTCTTTGTTTCTCATTTATATTTCCCCCTTTCTCCCCCCTCTTTTTTTTTTTTAACATCCAAGACGTTCTCAATAAAACCCTATCAAACGCACCGACGATATACAATGTGATGTGCCCATTAATTAAGTCAGTGGGGCAACGCTCCAATATTTGTGGGTGTGGGTGTAAGTAAGGTATACTTTATATACTGCGGCCAGCTCAGATGTCTTTGTATCACCGAGCACAACAAAGTTGCCTGGAAATTCCAGTGGGAAACTCAGTATGAAATTGTGGCACCCAAACAACAACTACCCCCACCCCCCACCCCTGTGGGCGGTGGGTTATGCAGGACACGTTCCTTTGATTTGACTCTATTTAGTAGTTTCCTGGGACTCCCCCCCCCCACACACTGTATTTCTACAGTCTCTTTACTCTGGACTCCGGAATCTAAATCCCGAAGCACGAGACATTCTATATTTTTCCGCAGAAGAATGAAGGAAAGATCCCACCCCTCTCCAGCTTTAATTCTAAATCTAGAATTTTGCAGAAATGGCGAGAATTGGTCGTCCTAGACTGCATACACGCAATGCATGTAAAACACACCCAGCTACCCCAAGAATGATACCCTGAGAAGCGTAGATTGTTAAGGCTATTGCTACTTGTCGCTCTGCGAGGGTTAAACTACAGTTCCCAGGTTCTTGGTGTGGGTGGGGATTTGCTTTAAATGTACAGCGTGCCAAATTTCTTTAGGGCGTGCAGTCGCAGCGCTTTCCTGGAAAGCGATCTATTATACACAGGTCGGTACACACGTGAAAGTAGGTCGATTTTTAGACCGCAGAGCTCGGCAGATCCCCTCAACTTACAGAAGTGTCCGTGAAAAATACCCTTGATTTCAAAACGAACGTGGGAAATAGTTTCTTTGAAGGAACTCAGGGTTAGAAAAGTCTGTCTCCCTCTCTCCGCAACTCCTACGTTCCCACTGAGGCTAAGCAACTGCTCCCCAACCCCCAACAAATGCAGGTTGTTTTATTTTAAATTTACTTCTTTCTTAAGAAGGGGTGGGAGAGTGCTGTGCTGGTGCAAATAGGCAGCGACGCCTCTCTTATTATTTCCACCATCCTCACAGCGTTGCTATTATTTTCTTTCTGAAATGGGACTTCGTTTATCCCAGAAAGTCAGAGGTGGAAAGCATAAAGCCGGCCGCCCTGCGGAGTTGAAAGGGACCTCTTGTAATTCGATTTGCCCAACGCCTCCTAATTTCACGACGTCTAGAAGAGGGAATCGGGGAGACGTGGGCTTGCGCCTTGGCCCCGCGTTCCTTCCCCAACCCCGGGAAAAACCACTACCAAGGACCCACTTTAATGGGAAGACTCCATTCACCCCACTCTACCCCCACCGATCTACTCTGAGCCCCCATCACCCCCTCCGGACCCCGAGCACGTCGCAAGCCATTAGGCTGCCTGCGGTAATTACCGTCCGGGTAAGGTTCACTGCAACAGGCAGACGGCGATTCCTGCCTTCGGATTTTTATTTTTATTTTATCCCCCCCCCCTATTTTTGCAGGAGGGGTGTTGGGAACATTTATTAAACCCAGATGATCCTCGGGGTTTGGGGGCCATAAGGAAACGATTTACAATTAAGCCAATTGGAACCGAAATGCAGTCTTTTCCAAAATTTTCTTGCAGGTGTAAATAATGTTTCCTTCAAGGGACGGGGCCGTTCAGGTGCCCCTTTGCTTTGAATGTCCCTCCTCTTTCTCCCTCATTTGGCCCAGCTGATCTAGAGAGGCAACCCCACCTTTGGGACGTGCGTTTCTCGACGGGACGTCTCCGATAGAATTTTCACACACCTGCAGAAGACCCATCTAGTCCTCTCACACATTAAGTCCTAGTCCTCCCGAGCCGATCTTAAAACACGCGATTTTGGACAGAGGGACCCGTGGGTTTCAATGGAGCTTACTTTCAAGTAAGTGTACTTAGTTATTATTACTTAGGTATTATTATTGATGCTATTACTTCATCAGTATGCATGGTGCTTTATAAGTCCCCCCACGGCTTGGGTGCTTAATTGGTATCCACTAGGATACCATTACAGTATTGTGGGTCAAATTTTATGGTGCTCCCTTCCAGCTGAGGTCAAATGGCCCCTTCCCTGTTGAACTCCCAGCTACTGAATAATAATAATAATAATAATAATAATAATAATAATTCAAACAGGCATTTTAATAGAATTTTGATTTTATAGAGTTTATTTTAAAACTCTTTTTTGTTTCATTGGGGACAACTGAGACTCTTGTACATGGCTTAGAGAAGACGGTCATTAAATAGTATACAAATGTGCCAAAATAAATGAACAAATAAAGTCCAATAAGATAGGTCTGTGCAGGAAGAGGGCTAACCAATTAAACATTGCACACACGAAGAGAACAGAGGAAAAGAAGGGAAACTGAGGCAGGGGGCTGAGCAGGGAAAGAATATGGATTAATCTGAAATACAGAATTATTTGAATCATATCACCATGAGTTTGGTTACAGTAGGGTATAGTGATTTAAGAGGGTTGAACAAAGGAAGGGGTCGGTGGGTTATCACTCAGATTCCAGAAAGCACTTTAGCAATCTCCCCCTTCCCCTTACACACACCATGTTAAAAGTTGGGCCTACCATGTTGCTTTCCCACTAATATGGACTGAGAGTAAATAAAAAAACAGCCAAAGACCAGACTTCTATGTACCTTTACTTTGGAGTAAGCCACAAAGACACACGGAGTCACTATGCATAGGGGATCAGACAATGAGGAAGGAATGCTTAAATTCCTAGGCTCAAGTTGCCTGAGTTCTGAGGAACTTGGGAAGGAAGCCAAACATCTTTACTAGTTTGCTTTGGTATTAAGAACCATAAACTTCAAAGTAACTTTTAATATATTACAGTTCTTTCCCATGCAGCACCAGGTCAATCTCGATGTAATGCTCACCACAGCCCTGTGAGGTAGGCTCTGGAGACAGAAAGAGAGAGAGAGAGAGCTTGTTTGACTAGCACAAGGTCACCCAGGGAACATCCATCAGGCCTGAGCCGGGATTCAGACATGCTGAACCAGAATCAACAATCTGATCACTTTCACCTAGCTGTAAGCTAGCCAATGATGCTGCCCCACACAGACCTTGCCTACTTGTGACCATCATTTAAATAAAGCATCTCCATCTTCAGACACCTCAAAGTATATTTTATCTGCTGTTGTCACACTAGAGCTGGTTGGGAGTTCCGGCTTAGCCTTGCTGTTCCTTTTGAAAGCCTGCCATGATTTTACTCTGTTATTCTCCATTTCATATTACTGGGTTCAAATTATATGTTGGAGGCGATCTGCAGGTGGAGAGAATTGCTGTTGCTCTTGGGTCCTGTTTGTTGGTTCGCCATGGGGTATTTTGTTGGCTGCTGTGAGAACAGGATGCTGGACATTAGATGGGCCTTTGTCCTGGTCCAGCAGGACTCTTTTATATTCTTTAAAGGGTGTTGGTGAAATAGCCTGAAAATAATAACCAAGCTGCAGACTGAATAATGGAGATGAAGGGATGTTTCCTCATCTAGACTCATGGTGGACCTTAGCTGATGCTGGAGGTGGAGTAGGAAAGTGGGTGCAATTTGACACAGGTCTCATTGAAATCAAGATGAGACACATCATTTGAACCCCAGATGCTTCAACAACCAGATTGTAGACTGGGAGGAAGTGAGGCCTAGCAAGAGGAGTCTTTGGGGTAATTCAGGAATGGTCAGGGATGGGATCCTTTTCATGCTAAAAGGAGATTGGAGGTTCTGAGACAGGTTAGCTACCCATAATGTTGCCATCTGATTACACTGTATGCACTTACACAGGACCAAAGCCCAAATGAACACCGTGGGACTTACTTCTGAGTAAATATACATAGGCCTGTGCTGTAAAAGAGCCCACCTTTTTCTCAAAAGTTTCAATAAGAGATTTTGGGGGTTGGTTTCAGGAATATCCTTCCTTCTCTCTCAACTTTATTTTTTGCCACAAAAAGAATATATATATGGTACACAACACATACGTTCTTTAAATTACAGGAAACAAAGGAATGAAGAAATGGAAGAATATTCTCAGTACATTTTCATAGAAATTGATGTTAACTCTGTGATGTAAGTCAGGAGGGTGAGCAGTTTCAGCTCTGAAGGGGATCTTGCCGAGGTTAAGTGCTTTGTCCTTGCCCCAACAATTTCAGTGGGAAGAAGATAAGCAATGCCTGCGATTAATTCCCTTCCCTCCCTCTCTCTTTGAAAGGATGAGCTTTAAAAGGGCTTAATTTGTTTCCTATCATGCCCTTAAATTCTCCCTGCAAATCTAATAAACAAACAGCTCTTGGGTTACACACTAAACCACTTCCCATTTTTCTGGGTGGCTTCTCAGGGCTCGGAGGTTCACTTACCATTAACTCTGAGGTGGAGAAAAGATTAATTCCCCATGCTGGTCAGGTTAGTCAACCACCGCTTTGATAGTGTCTGATGTGGCTGGAGTATGGCCCTCCAGACCTCCCTATCTGGCCCTTGGAATTCTAAGGTTGCTTAGGCCACACCCCTCAGTAACCCAAATTCGTATCTGGACCAACTGGAATGTACCCTTGAACTTCCTATTACTGAAAAAAGACAAATTTGACACTGGTCGCCCCACCCACCTTTGCCTCTGGCCCCGCCCACTGCTGGGATGCAGCCTTCGGATGGCTGCCCAGAAGAAGTGAATGTGGCCCATTGGCTGAAAAAGGTCATCTACAGGCCTCAGTCAGGGTAAGAGAGGAAAGAGCCTGCTTTGGGAGAGACAGGCTGAGCCTGATGGTCTCTTGGGCTCTTTGCAGGTCTCAGATTCTCTGACACAGATTGTTGTATTCACACGTGCAGAAGGCTGGGGACCCATTGAGAGCTGGCGAGTCTCTGTGCTTCAGGACCTCTGTGATTCTTCTAGAGTATATACATCTCTAGTTATAGGTCTAAAAATTCACAGCAGTAAATAATCTTCAAATATACTGCTTTCTCTGCTTTAAGTATCAGAGCTGGCCTTTCTACCATATTGTGAACTTTATCCCCACCCTCAGCCAAATCTCTTCCCTGTCACTAGAACCTGAAAGGGACTTTAATCCACTGCACTGAAATCAACCGAAACTTTCCCACGGAAATCAGGGGTTATGTGTCGCTACCCTCCGGACCCCTGTTCCATTAGATCTGCGCCTTTTCCTGCGGGATCCTAAGCGCGTTTACACGGAAATAAATCCCGCGGAGGGTAGGGTGGCTGGGTGGGGAAGGCTTTCTCTAGAAGATCCTGGGCCTTTGGCTGTTTCTGAGCTCGAGGGACGTGGAGCCGGATGCTCACATCTGCTGAGAAGGCTCTTGTGTGTGCGTGCTTGACTCCCCCCCCCCCCTTTTAAGTTCATTACATGAAGAAGCATCGTTGTTCCGGATTGCACCGTCCTGGGCGGTTATCTCTGCCAGAGCCTGACATGTACAAACACTCAAACAAGCCTCGGAAGGCTACAAAGCCTCGGAAAATCCGGAGGAGCCACATAAAAGCGAAGCTAAGTAGGAAGTGGTGTAAAAGGCCTTGTCGTGCAGTTGGCCTGCCCTCCCAGATGTTCTGCATAAAAATAAGAAAAATAAAAATAAAAAATCCCTCTTTAATGAGGGTGAAAGCCAGCGGTGAACGCTGCGTGAACCAGAGAAGGCGGGTCGGTGGGGCACAGATGTTGCAGCGCGCAGGCGCAATGTCAGCAACAGTGCAAGGGGGGCTTCCCTGGCTCTGCCCATCTCACCTGCTCTTGCAGAACCTTCGCCCGGCTTCTAGAATCCCCTGGGGGATTCTTACTCCGCCACTGGCCGCTGGAGGGCGCCCCAGCGGCCCACAAGACGTGCACGTACACGGCACGCTGCACCTAGCAAACTTTCCTTCCAACACCCAGAAACATTTTATTAGTATGAATCCAGGAGAATAAAAAAAACCTGCCATTCCTAGAGGAACAGCAAACACCTTTGGGAGAAGAACTGAAGTCGGGTTTGTCAGGGTGTTTTATTGGAGGCCTTTAGCAATGGCTGTGGTGGGTTGCGGTGCGGTAAGAGGAGGGAAGGCGCAGCCGATCTCTCCAAAGACTTGCCCAAACTTTTGGGGGTAAACCAAATGTCTCCAAATCAGATTGAAAATGGGTTGGGGGCGGAGGACATGGCCCCTCAGAGCCCAAAGAAATCAAGAGGGGTGGGTGGGGAAGAGGAGTCAGCCATAGTCTCTAATCTCTGCGTGCGTGTGGGTGGGGGTTGTTTCAGAGTTAAGTTTAATTCGCAAAAAGCGCATTAAACCTGACTCTGTGTCGACATCGATGTTTCACTGTGACGTCCTTATAGATCTAGTATGAATCAGGCTGCAAGCCTATGCACCCACACAGCAGAACACCAGGAGAGCTCTGTTGGATCAGGCCAATGGCCCATCTCATCCAGCAACCTGTTCTCACGGGGACCGAGCAGATTCCCCGACGGGAAACCCTCAAGCAAGGACGACCACAAGAGCACTCTCTCCTCATGCGCTTTCCAGCGACTGGTATTCAGAAGGATTGCTGCCTCTGGTCGTGGAGGAAGAGCACAGCCTCCGTCGTGGCTAGTAGCTATCGATAGCCTTCTCCCCCATGAGCTTGTCCAATCCTCTTTTAAAGCTGGTGTCCATCACTATGTCGTGGAGGAGAGAATCCCATGGTTTAACTACGTGTTGTGTGAAATAGTACTTTCACACACACCTGGAAGGATTCCGTTAGCATCACAGTAATTCCATTGAACTCAGTCAGATTTATTTAGTGGTAAACTTGCTTATTCGACTTAACCACCTTCCTCCTCCTCCTCCTCTACTATTACTACTAAAATGCTTATTGGGCAGCAGAAGATGGTGTAGGAAGCACTCAACAAACCATATTGGTTTCAACGACGTTGGACGTCCTTAGCTCTCTCCAATGTAATTTGATTTCATGTACCTTTGGGAGGAAGCGGGGTACGTCCCCATTGTGGCTCAACTCATTTCCCAGCTATGCCTTGTAAACTGAACAGATCTTATCAGCTCCAGAGGGTGATCAGAGATGGAAAAATCTTTCCCCTTTGCTATTCCCACATCTCACCAGTCCTTCTCTTAGTTCCCATACCTTCCTAGTCAGTGCAGAAGTCGTGTATGGGTTGTGACCCCATTATAATGAATGGCCTCGGCTAACTTTGCCCCATTCGTTGACAATTTCAATGGGTCTGCCCTGAGTAAAAGTTGGATACAACGCTATGTGTATGTACACTTACACACAGCAGGTCTCCTGGTTGGAGCAGCAGTAGCAGTAGCAACACATTCCAGAAGTGGCCTCTGTTCCTTGGCTGCAGGAAGAAGGACAAAAATCCCATGACACTGGAAAGGCTACAGCCCTAAGGAGAGGGCCCTAGCTCAGTGGTAGAGCATCTCCTTTGCATGCAGAAGGTCACAGGTTCAATCCCTGGCTTTTCCAGGTTGGGCTGAGAGAGACTCCCTGCCTGAGACCATGGAAAGCCACTGCCAAGCACTGTAGAGTGAGCTAAATGGACCAATGGTCCAACTCAGCATAATGCAGCTCCCTGATTTGCTATGTTCTAGTTTCCTAACTAGAGCCAGTGTGGTGTAGTGGTTAAGAGCAGTAGACTTGTAATTTGGGGAACCGGGTTTGTGTCTCCACTCCTCCACATGCAGCTGCTGGGTGACCTTGGGCTAGTCACACTTCTCTGAAGTCTCTCAGCCCCACTCACCTCACAGAGTGCTTGTTGTGGGGGAGGAAGGGAAAGGAGAATGTTAGCCGCTTTGAGACTCCTTCGGGTAGTGATAAAGCGGGATATCAAATCCAAACTCTTCTTCTTCTTCTTATGGTGGGTAGGATCTGGTCTAAGTTAACTGAACTTTGCTCCCATTGAAATCCATTGAAATCAGTGAGACAAGTAGTTAGTTATGATTTAACATGGCCCCATTGAGATCAATCGCAATTTCTTTCCCAGACTGAAACCTCATTTGGAGGAGGGAGGAGCAGGATTCTGGTAAGAAGGATATACAAAAGGATCTGCTTTGTAAACATCAGGCAATTCACTGTTGGTTTGGAAGGCAAATCAGAGAAGCAGAGTAGAATACCAATACAGATTGGGTTACATCAATATACTTGAATTATTCTCTTTGTACAATTCAATATTTATTGATGACGATGATTGATACTGGGTTGTACCAATGTTAGACAGTTGTACCCAATGTTAGACAGTTAGTGTAGACCCACTGCAATTAATCACAATTATTAATTTGGGCCTATTAATTCCGAAAGGTCTACTCTGAGCAGAATTTAGTTAGATACATCTCATCTACTCCCCTAAATAACTCAAGGAGATATGATTCTGTCTCCTGGTTTCTGATCCTTGCAACAAACCTGTGAGGGAGGCTTGGGTGAGATGCTGACTGTACAGAGGTCGCCCTGTGAGCTTCTTGGCTGAGACAAGAGGATTCAAACCAGTCCATAGACCAACACTTTAATCAGTACCAATGGCTCTTGGTCTCAGGATAGGTACCATTCACCAGGTCTTATGCCTGAAACATATCACAATTGCATATTACAAATGCTTAGGCATACAGAATTGTCATTGTAAACAGACTTGCTTCTCATACAGCAGACTGAGGGATTAGCTAATGCATGCAGATCTTAACGCTGCAGATGAGAGTTGTAGTTCACCTACATCTGCAGGACATTCCAGCTGGGGGAATGTGGATCTATGGGAATGCACCTCCCACCTGAGTCTCTCCCCCCCCCCACTTAAGATAGAGGTGGGGGACCTGTGGCTCTCTGGATTTTGGTGGAACACAACTCTCGACATCCCTGAGCCATTGGCCACTGTGGCTCAAGCATATTTTCACCAGCCCTGTGCTTGTGTAAGTTAAATTGTGGAACTTGCTCCCACAGGAGGCAGGGATGGCTACCAAATTGAATGGCTTTAAAATAAGGCAAAGGTAAAGGGACACCTGACCGTTAGGTCCAGTCATGGCAGACTCTGGGGTTGCGGCGCTCATCTCGCTTTATTGGCTGAGGAAGCCGGCGTACAGCTTCCGGGTCATGTGGCCAGCATGACTAAGCCGCTTCTGGCGAACCAGAGCAGCGCACGGAAATGCCGTTTACCTTCCCGCCAGAGCGGTACCTATTTATCTATTTGCACTTTGATGTCCTTTCAAACTGCTAGGTTGGCAGGAGCTGGGACCGAACAACAGGAGCTCACCCCATCGCGAGGGACTCTGCAAATTCATGGAGGAGAGGGCTATAAAGATGGACGACTATGCTGTATCTCCACAGTTTGAGGCTGAATACCAGCTGCTGGAAACCATAGGAAGGGAGAGGGCTCTTGTGCTGGGGTCCTGATTGCAGGTTTCCCATAGATATCTGCTTGGCTACTGTGAGAACAAGATGGAGGACTCGATGGGCTTGATCCAGCATTAGGCTCTTCATATAGATTTGGGGGTGGAGAGAGAGGGAGAAGGGGGGAGAGGGAGAATTTCACTCAGGGTATGTTTCTCTTGTAAGACAGAACCTTATGTGACAGTAGCAGCCGCCTAGCCAACGATCCTGCCTTTCTGGAGAAATCTCCCTTACGTGGGGATCGCACCTTGTCTGTATCAATATTAATACATTTTCAGCAGCTCCCTGCTTTCTCTCTCCACCCCGCCCCAACCCCGCCGCTTCCAGCGTAGGACATGCAACGAAGGGACACCAGGAGTAAGCATCTGCCCCTTTTGTTTGATGCTCATTTAGCCAAATTGACCGACCGGATCTGAATCCACTATCGAGCTGGCTGGCGTTTACAGAACAGATTCAATGTCAATGCAATTTTCTCATCTCCTGACTACGAGAGAGCCCCCGTTTTCCCCTCCTCCAATTAGATTTCAATTTAGGAAACAGATACAACTGAAAAAGCTTTGGACATCTTTAAAAGCTTTCTTTCTTTCTTTCTTTCTTTCTTTCTTTCTTTCTTTCTTTCTTTCTTTCTTTCTTTCTTTTTCTCTCTCTCCCTTTCTCAAGAAATATATAACTTCTCCTCCTCAGCTTTCTCCCTCCGTCTCTCTCTCTCTCCCCCCTTTCAGGGCAAAACTCTTTCTTCTCCAAGTTCATTTTACTTGATCGATGGGAGAGGTCATTTGGTCCATAATTAGGTCAATAAAATCGATGTTTATTCCTCTGATGGGCCTGAAAGCTAATAAATTCTTCCTCCTGGATTTGCTGGCCAGGGTGGTTTAAAAAGACCCTAAACCTTTCTTTCCCCAAACCTCCTCCCCCTCTCCGCCGCCCGCCAAACACAACTCCGGCTTTTGAAGTAATGCAAAAGAAAAAGAAAAAAAAAAAAGGAAAAAAAGGGGAAAAAGGGGGGGGGGCGTCCTGGACTGCTTAGCGGCAATTTCTCCCAGCTCTACAAGGCGCTATTTGTATTTCGGTACTTTGTCTAGCCAAGAAATTTTAAACCCAAACTGGAGGGCTACCCCCCCCTCAAAGAGTCAACTACCCCAAAACCAACAATTTGCAATGATTTCAAGATCCTGAGATCTCTCTTGGCTTTTTAGATAAAATCCCCCCTTGCGCTCTCTGATCTCATTCTAAGCTTCTTCTTAAAAAAAATAAAAATAGAAAAAATGCATTTTTAGGAGACTTTAATTGGGGGGTGGGAGGGAAGGGAATGGGGGCTTGCAGAGATAAAATAAAATCGTATTAACTCTGAGGAACAGAGGTTCTTATGGAGGCTTTGGAGGGAGGGGGCGTCTGCAGATTTTTTTTCAGGCAGGCGAAGGAAAACACACACACACAGAGTTCCTAATAAGATCAATATGGGGGGGGGGAGAGAATCTTAACAAAGGTTTCGAGTGGGCTAAAGACCTTTGACATGCATTGCAGATTAATTGGGCCTCGTGAAAAGGAGGGAGGTTAATTAGTCGCGAAATGAATCAAACTAAACATTTCGGTTGGATTGTCTCCGGCGCTGGGTTTGTTAGGGGGCGATCGGGGGGATCAGCTTTTGTGCGGGACAAATTGGAGGCGAGTAGCGTGGTGCGGCCCCGACACGGTGGGTTTTGTGAACTGGCGACAGCTCTGGTCCCTGGGGAAAAAAAGAGAAAAAGAGACACAGAGAGAGAGAAAGAGGCAGGGGAAGAAAAATAAATAAACCTCATTATCTCATGTCTGATCGCATCCTTGGGTGAAAGCGCTTAATGGAGAGTGACGCACACAATCTCTCTCGTAGACACACAAGGCTCTTCTGATAACTGCCCCCAACCTTTGTCCAGCCCTTTGCAAAACCAAATGTTTACTTACGAGTAAGCCCCACTGCCTGCATTCCAACTTGATCCCAGGTAAATGCAACGGAGCAGTTAGGTAAACCGCTTTTAATATTGTGCTTTAATTGTTGTGACCCGCCCTGGGACCTAAGAGTGAGAGGCGGACTAACAACAACAGCAGCAGCAGCAATTCAGACTCTGCAGTCTGATCCTGTGTTTGGTTCCGCCGGATCTGTGCTTAGAATCCACTGCACCTGGGCTTAGGATCCAGCTCGGGATGCGACAAATCTATGGCACTTGATGTCATGGAATACCTTTTGCGTGGAAACTTGTACTGCTTCACTTCCTTCAAAATGTGGTAAGACGGCCTTGCTGCATTTTTACCCCTTTGCATTTTGCTGAATGGGACCCTGGATTTATGCCCTAAAGTCATCATGCCCGGACAGCACCGCTGGCTAAACGTGGAAGGTAACACCATTTACGGGAGGCGTCGTAGCGGTAGAGCTTTGCACATAGAAAGTCCCACGTTCGATCCCTGGCACCTCTCCAGGTACCGCTGGGAGAGACCCCTGTCTGAAACTACGGATAGCCGCTGCCAGCTAGTGCCGGGAATACTGAGCTAGGCGGACCAATGGTCTCATTCGGCGCAAGGCAGCTTCATTTGTTTGTGTTCTATCACAGCATGCATCTATCAACTCACCAACTGTCTAATCTTATGGGGGAAGTCAGTGGATATGAATTTTTGGGGGGGGGGTTAGAGGGGGAAGAGGGAAGGATTTGAAGTTTATACGATTATGAACGGTGTGGAGAACGTGGACGGAACGTTTTCTCTTTCCCTCCCTCTACAGAATTTAGCGCGGTGTGGTTGGCCGCCGTGAGAACGGGGTGCAGGATTAGATGGGCCACTGGCAATGGCCTGATACTGCAAGGCTCTCCTTACGTTCTTATGTCACACAGTGACAGTGATTGGCAGAGGGCTGAGGTACAGGCAACAGAAGCGAACAATGCATAACGGAAGTGCGCTGATCCCATTGTCCCATTTTGATGCTCGCCGGTTTAGAGGGTTTGGGACAAGTCAAATGAATGGAGATATCTATCTATCTATCTATCTATCTATCTATCTATCTATCTATCTATCTATCTATCTATCTATCTATCATCTATCTATCTATCTATCTATCTATCTAT